ATTAAAAATATATATAGAATGATAAATGAATATAGTAGAGGGATGGAGAGAGTAGCACCCCCTGAAAATGTGGTAGTGGTTTAAGCAATGTATAATGGTGGACAAAAAGTTAAACAGATAGAATTCATGGGAAAGGATAGGATGAAAAAATAAATAAAGCAAACGTAACATGAATGGAAAATGTGCAATACAGCTATATCTCATGTGGAACTCAACAAGAATAAGTTATGAAGTAGAACTGCTACTGATGATAATGAAGTATTGTTTAGAGAAGTTAACAATTCAAACCATCTCAATATCAAAAAGTCCCTTGTTTTATGCTGGGGCCAACATCACATAAATAACTATCCTCGAAGAGCTGCCAATAATGCTCAAATGGACAAAATCAATTTCATGAATTCAACCCTAGCCACTAAGATTATTCCTTGTTTGTTTAATTCTGACTGATTGATGGCGTCAAAATTTAATAAAAATGTAGAGCTTTGACCCAAAAAAATTGACTCAAGAAATCATAAACTATACTTTCGCAATTTAAAAAAAAAAAATACATGAAAAATCTTTAGAAATCTGTAATTTTTTAAATTTTGCTCCTCCTTTATTCCATAGTTTTGTTAATGTTTTCTGGGCTCCAAAAATTCGGCCTCGGCCTCCGCCCGCTGTGTTTTTTTTTTCTTTTCGGGGGGAGTTTTAACGGAATAAGTTCTGGGGTAAATTTTGGGAAGGTAGATGGGTTTGTAGATAAGACACTACCCAGGTATTTCGCCCTCATTTTGCGAGGACTTTATGATCTGAGTTCTGGTTTCCTATGGGCGCAAGCCCCTATAGTTAATTACCCCTCCCGATCACGATAGAGAACTTTCGATTAACGCTAGTCGTCGATCAAATACGTCGTATCCATAGATACTTGGCATTCGGCATATAATAGCATCATGGGTTTAGATATTTGAAGGGTTTGGAAGAATTGATATTTAAAATTAAAATTTTCATCATCTTGCACTTAAAGCGGATGGTGGGGGAATGGATGATGAACCCGATCAAGATCCCATGGTTCTGTCATTCCGGGCCATCGTGGTCTCTGGTCTACTTAGTCAGAGGAGGTAATCGACCCAACCTGACAAAAGGATCCTCGTCGGCAACCATGGGTTGCTTCATCCAAGGGGTCCTTGTAGACCTGGGGGGAATGCTTGTCTAAGGGGACAAATTTGAATCCACCTTAACTAACAAATGGCTTTGTGCCCTATCAATTATATCCTATAGATTCATATCTCAAAGATTTGATGCCACTAAGGAACGTATTGGCTATGGTCATAACCGATATTTCGTGATGTCATTTGGCGGCAAAATCAGGGGCACTGTGTCATAACTGTTTATCCTACGGTGTCATTTGGTGTCAAAATCGTCGGTTAGAGGACACATACCACATCCTTATTGGCAGGAGATTGTTTGAGAATGAATCATAGTGAAATTTTCAACTATGCATTAGCTCAATATGAGCTGAAGTAAATTTTAATTTGTCCACTCTAACAAACTGTTGCGGAGGATGGATGAATTTTGCTTTAAGTGATTGATGATTTAATTTTAAATTTTAAATATCCTAGGTTTAGATGATTTGTGGAATTTTGGATTTATGAAAGCTTTGAATTTCGTGGGTATTTGGTTGAAGCTTGAAATATTTGGAATTAATCCCTCCGGTTGAGATTTACATTCAACACGACCATCATCGGGGTGCCTTGGATCATTTTCACTTTTGGATTGAACCTTGTCGACTTAGCCAATTTGCCGACAGAGGATCGGATTCGTCATAGGCTTTTGTGCCTTTATTAGTGAATTCTCATTGTTATAGGCCTTGGAGGCCTAATATGAATGTATTATAATAAATATACCGGTCCCCACAACTGTATATTTGTTTGATGGTTCGAACCCTGTCGACTCCTATTGATCTGCATAGAATGATCATGCTCGAACTTGAATTCACTTATTGACCCGCGCAGCATCGCTAGACATCACGTGTGTACTAATAACACGCTCGTTGGGGCTCATGCGGGTGTTTGGGGATATTTTATAATTATTTATTGAACCTTGTCGACTCCTATATATTTGCTTAGGATGATCGGGTTCAAATTTATTGACCCACACAGCATCCCTAGACATCATATGTATTCCTACAACATGCTCGTCGGGGCTCATACGGGTGTTTGGGGACATTTTATAATTATTTATTGAGCATTGTCGACTCCTATCTATTTGCATAGGAGGATCGGGTTCAAATTTATTGACCCGCACAGCATCCCTAGACGTCACATGTATTCCTACAACATGTTCGTCGGGGCCCATGCGGGTTTATGATTGTCTTGCTCTTTTTGTGTACCTATGTGTATACAAACTACGGTGCATATGCGAGGGCCACTTTTGGAATTTTATGGGTCTTCTACGACGGCTCGTAGGAGCTTGTATTTGTCGTAGTACTTCGATATTTGTTTGTAGATGACACTTGATGCGTAGTAAGTCTCCTGCAACGTGTCTTCTGCGAGGACCCATAGGCATTTACATTTACTGTATTCCTTTTACATTTTATTGCAGTCTTTGGTCCTCGTGGTACATCCGCTACTGCTACATGTATGCAGGTAGATGTATTTGTTCACAGATTTGAAGGTGTCCAATTTTTGTTGGATATGAAAGTATTTTTTTTGCAGATATCACATATCCATTGTCACTACTTATAGATGGCTACTCATCCGCCGTTGTAAGCAAGATGCCTCATTAACCACAACTCTTTGACTTTAGCCAGTGGGTAGCTCATTATATACATCACAAACATATTGACTAATATATTCATCACAGGCATCATGTCCCCTTTCAATAAGTGGATTGTCACACTCCTTCACTTAGTGGATTTTCATACTTATCATAGGTATGCCATTATTGTTCTTTTAAACATAAGCGAGTTGTAGGTGTACCGTTGTTTACATTATATGTTCATTACAAGTCTTATACACTTGTTTGTAGGCAAGTCTTGTGATGTCATTTATGAGTATTCATAAGTTTCTTGTAGTTATTTGTAGGTATGTTATGCTCATTGCAGTCCACTCAAACTAAAGTCCCTTGAGTCCTCTGTTGTTCAATGCAGATTCAAGCTCAAAATAGATTCAATCTTGAGTTCGAGTTCTAGTACAAGTTCATTTCATTTAGTGTCCAAATCAGTTTGAGTTCTTGGTACAAGTTCAAGCTTCTTGCAGTCCACTTAGTTCCCTTATCATTATTCATTTGAATCCAAGTTACAAGTTCAATTAATATTCGAATTGGGTTAAAGTCTTTTGTATTTGTTTAAGATGGAGTCTAAGTCCAAGTCCCCTGTAGTCATATTGAGTTCAACCTTTGGTCCTCAACTTATTCATTTAAGTTCAAAGCGGGTCTCATGTTCACCAAAAATTTTGGTAGCCTTCCGGCGTCTCCCCCGTTTAAGGGAAACTACGAGAAACTGGGCCTTCCCACGACGCGCAATAAAGGCGTGTATGGTAGGTGTCCTTAGACACCGCGGCCGTGGTAGTCATTCCCACCATGCGCAATAAAAGCGTGCAAGGGGTCTTCGAGTGTACCTGTTTTAAAACACAATTGGCTTTCCCCTCGCTCGATAGTACTTATGAGAAACCCTGCCTCATCGTAGGTGTCGCACCGGGTTCCCATCCCACCACGCGCAATAAAGGCGTGTATATGCAATTTTTCGGTGCGCCGCGAATTCTGAAATTGGGCTTTTAGGTGATTACCCGCCTTATCGTAGGTGTCGCACCGGGGTCCCATCCCACCACGCGCAATAAAGGATTGTATGGGCGGTTTTCTGGTGCACCACGAACTTTGAGAGCAGGAATCTGAGTTTTAGAAAATTCATACCTTTGTGGGGTTCGATACGCATATCGAGGCACAAGAGAGACTTGCATCTTTCTTATTAATTATAATTAACTAGAAAAATTAATTACAACTAATAATGATTAATTAATTAATTACACCTAATAATGATTAATTAGAATTAATTATTAAGTATTATTTAATGATTGATTAATTATTATTAATGAAAACTAATCATACTTAATTAGCATTAATAATGATTAATTTATACTTAAAACTAATTAATTAAAATTAGTTAAAATTAATTACTAATTAATTACAATTAATTAATAATTAACTGAGTTGTTAGGATCGTCGTGAGTGAGTTAAATCTTTCCTTTCCCTCTTTGTTTAGTGGGTTTACTAGATTTGGCCGAAGTAGCGCGCGAATGGGATAAGTTACTTACACAGCAAGCGAGCTCCCACTATTGCTTCGGATCAAAATGTCATGAGGTTAAATCCGACAGGAAAGGAGCGTCGTCTGAGGTGGAGTAGGTTAGGGCTTCGGCTCACAAGGAAGGAGGTGATGGAAGCTTGAGGAGAGAGGTTCTCTCTCTCTCTCTCGGCTTGGGTGAGAAGTCGGCACAGTGAATGGGTTTGAATCAGAGGAAGTCGGAGTCTATGCGGCTTGAAAGGCTCGGAATAGGTAGGAGCGACAGGATGGAGCTGGAGTTCGGGAATGATTCGAAGAGGCTGGAGGAGATGGATGCGGGAGTTTGAGGGCTTTGTTCGTGTGGAGGAACCGGCGTTGGAGGCCTCATCTGCTTGGGTATTTAATGTCATACGTGGATGCTTGATCGAGGCAGATCGCAGGATACCCAGACTCTTTCGACGTCGTTTCCAGAGATAGAACTGTAGCAGGCCGCGATTTCTACAGGATTTGCGCTTATTTCCTAGATTTTTGCAGAGGTATGTAAGCATTTTTTTATTTCTTTGTACATGGGTCAACATGTTTCTCTAACAATAATGATAATGAAACTATACAACTTTGGTTAGAATTAAACGGATTAGCGATTGTTGGATTGGAAGAGATGAACGACAAATAGAATATGAAAAAAAAAATTGGCACGTCATGTTAAATCGAAATACTAAAATTTCTTGTTCACTTGCCTTCTTACCAAATAACGATGCAATTAGAGAAATGATACGCTCCTCTAACTCCTCTTGGTAGCTCTCCCTCTTGTTTTTCTTGCTAAGGGGAATCTGAATATAACAAAAAAATTACACATTTACTTGAGGAATAAATATAAAAAAAGTAAATAAATTACACTAGACAACAAAAAAAATAATCATGGTAGAAATCTTCATCAGTCAGCTCAACAATATCATAAGAGATCCATATCATTTGCACACATGATAATATAATGTGATCGCAACCGATCAGCACAAAAGTGAGCAAACTATCATATACAAAAAAGAGTTATGTTACAGTTGAATAAAAAGTTTTCAACTCTCACAGCAGATACTTAGCTATTTCACTCTCCATTCACACACAAATAATAGAAACTTGAACTGGGAGTTAATAGCTTGATCCCAAACATGCTAAATCGGTTCACAAGTAAATGTTGTCTTCACAATCAAAACTTCCCTAGAAAAAGACAACTACGTCCAGTAAGTAGTTTAAGAGATAAGCTTCATTGATCATATTTTGGTTTTGCCGTATTTTCTGTTGCTTTTATTCTCCATTTGCACCCGAAGAATAGAAATTTGGTGAGTTGATCCCTTGAATCCAAATATGATCAATAAGTGCGACAAAAGTAAATGTTTTCTTTTCATTCAAAATGCAAAGCAGAAGATAAGACCATCCTGAGAGTAATTGAGGTATAAGCCTCACTTGATCATGCTATACTGGTGCTTTGCTATTTAATGTTTTTGAAAGTAAACTTGTTGCTAATATCTAAATGTTTAAGTTGCTTCTCATTCTCATGTCCATTCTTCATGGTCGTGAAGCTGTACGATGACATAAATGGGTAGGGTTTTCCTTAATGCATTTCCCTCACAACCTTTTCAGCAGCTTCTGTAAATCAATGCAGGTTTTCCTTTATGCATTTCCCTCACAACCTTTTCAGCAGCTTCTGTAAATGAATGCATAACGAAACAAAGGCTTCTTGTCCATCTATGCTTTTTATTCCTTTTAAATCATTATCCTTACACCTCTGCTCAAACCGCTGCAGCTCCTACTGTTCCTCTTGGATGCTTCCCCCACAGCCACCACGCCGGCCTTCAACAGCCCCACACTTTATTAGCAATATGATGATACAAACTTTGTGTGATACTTGAAGGATGAGCTCAATATGTACATTTCAAAAAACTCTCAAAGCAGGTTCATGATCAAGGTTATTTAGCTTAGTGTCCACTTAGAATGTTTCATTCAAATTTGTTTAAGTTAGATGTCCGAAGCTCTCAAAAATTATAAATACAAAAGTGAATTTGATTAGATTAATCTATATTTATTTAAAATATATTTTAGAAATTACTTTTTTTCATAATTTTGGGGAATTTGATAGGTTTAATTTTCTGTTTATTTGGTTTATTCAGTATTTACTTATATATGTGAAATTATTTTAGTTAAAATATTCTTTATGATCATGTGTATAAATTGTTAAAATTCATCAGCATGATTACTTTGCTTTAAGAAAATTTATATGATTAAAAGTTTCATATTATGATCATCAAATTTTCTAAATAGACTTCACTTATATAAGCTATATCATTAGTTTCTTAATTAAGGAAACCTAGCTAATTGATAATTTCATGAAATTTTCTTCAATTATGGGTTTTATATGTTAGCAATTTTATGTTAGACCGGTCCTGTTGGACCGGTCCAGTTGGGCCCATTGCCAAGGGCCGGCTCATGTTTACAAGAGACGGATCAAGCTGGTCCGCCATCTTGTGGTGGCCGCCCTTGAGTGGGTGGGACCCACTCATGATTCAAATTCAAACAATTTGGATGCAAAGGAGGGGGCGGCTAGGGCAATGGAGTATTTTTGGTTAGATGTTTAATTGTATGATTTAAGTAGAAAGGAGGGATTAGGGTTAGGGTTATGCTTGATTATTGTGGCTGATTTGGAGTCTTGTTCTTCATATCTTGGGCTCTAGCTTCGTCTAGGGATTGAGAGAGAATGATCCTCCTCTCAAATTGAGGATCAATTGTATCTTGCTTTCCTTGTTCCATTAGTTCTTCCCTTGAAATAAAACTATTGCTTTCGTTGTGCTTTCCATCAGTTTTTGTGAAGTTTCTCGTTGTTTTGTCTCTATTATTAGGGGTTTACTTGAGATTTTCAAGTATTTCATAACAGTTTAATCAAGTCAAAAGGTTACAGTCATTTTCATTTAGTTTGTTAAATATATAACTTATACATTTCTAAAAAAATCACCTAATCTGCATGAATCTCGCGACAATATTTAAATTAAAAACTTTCATAATTAAATTCAAGATCATATGAACTCTGATTTCAACAAACTTATAGTTGACCTGAACATCTTGACGATACAAACCCATCTACATCACAGATGATCGAATTGATCAACCTAAATCAATCACATGAATCATATTTGAAAAATTCTTAATATTAATTGAAGGACAAAACAGTCTTAAAATCTTGCATACCTATAATCAAATCAAGCAACTCAATGAGATGAATCCAGCAAGCTCGAGATCATTTGATTATGGCATCATCAAGTCACTCAAATGTTGGATAAAAGACCTATAAATCAAGAGAATCAATATAAATTGTTTTGGATTACGGCCAAATTTATTGAAACACCCCTCTCAAAAAGCCAATAAATATAACTCTAATTTTGTACCCAAAGGGAGATTTGAGAGATGATATAGCTAAAGAAATCTATTTCATTTTCTAATGATTAACACCAACACTACCATCAGCAATCGTCACCGCAACTAGTGAACTTCCGGCATCCAACTATTATTGCATGACTATTAAAATTTAATCATGTTATTAGGATTTAACAATTCTCTTGTGCACAATTGATTTTTGCAATCCCTATTATAGGAATCAAACAATTGTTTTCAATTGTGTACACTCTCATTTTCTTCATTTGTGAGGAAAGGGAATTCTTATATCTTCTATTATTTAGTAGATTCATTGAGAAGAGTCCATTGTCGTGGTTTTTTTCTCTTATGTGTGTTTTTCACATAAAAATTTGTCTCTTAAAAACATCTTTCTATGCATATTGGATATTTGTATAAAGCTAAAACATTAAATACTCTATCATAACAAATTTCCTAGCACATAATAATTTGACACAACCTATGGGAAATCATATCCCAAATACAATGGCTAATAGAAGTAGTACCATTGGTTGTGGATTTTCGCATTCCAACACTCATCAAGCAAGAAACATGTTTGGCAATCATGAATGTCATAATCGACTAAGAGTAGGCTCTCAGGCCCTAAGAGTAGGCTCTCAGGCCCATCCTTGGATGATCGGATCCACAATTGGAGGACCATCAAGCTCATATCTTTCAAACATTGGACAAGGGTGGCCAATAAAGAGTACTACCATAACATGATGGAACTTACCAACCACAAAAATAACATCATAATGAGGACGAACAACAACAACAACAAGCCTTTTATCCCACTACATGGGGTCGACTACATGAATCATTTTTCTCCATTGTTAAAAGTCAAAATCTCATTTAAATCTAATAAAGAAAGGTCATTTCTAATATTCTCTAACCAAGTCTTATTAGGTATACCTCTACCTTTCTTAACATAAGCTAAATCTAATACATTTACTCTCCTAACCAGGTTATCTGAAGGCCTTCATTTTATGTGACCAAGCCATCTAAGGTGACTCGCAGAAATCTTATCTGACATTAGAGTGATACACCTTAGATTTCCAAATTAGGGTTTGCCCTAATTTTCCTTCAAGGGAGAAGTTTCTCCACCAAATCAAAGTTAGCTCAAGACAAAAGAATGAGAGGAAGAACAAAAGAGCTTTGCAATAATCTTCAAGACAAAACCAAAGACAAAGCTAGTCCACTTCGAGAAGGACCAAATCTCCCAAAAGAAACCCTAGAGAAAACAAGAGGGAAAAGAGAAAGAACTTTCTTCACATGATGCCCCAAAACAAACCCTAAAGGTTCCTTTCATACAATCTCACAACTTCCCCCTCATCCCTAAATTACCCCCCATCATCCACCCTCCATTTTCCCCCCAAAAGTTGGCCTCTCCCCTTGATGCCCAAGGATTTAAATAAGTGGGCCCAAAGGGCCCACCTTGACCCTCTCCCCTTTCTCCCCAAGTTCGGCCGCCCCCTCCCTTTGGCTCACCTGGGCCGGATGCCCCCCCCGCCGCCTCCTGTAGACCCGCGTGGGTCTCGGATGGACCGGCTCAGCCGGTCCATCATAGAGCTATTCCAACCTTTTCATGTAAATGCTCGTTTCATATTTTGTCTCTAAGAGTAATTCAACTCATCCACCTGAGCACCCTCATCTTTGCAACATTGTTGTTGCCAGGTCCCAATTCCTGGATGAGAAAAATGGGGATGAACAATTTATCGAATAATATGTTATCATAACGGGGATAAACAATTGGAAAATACTCATGGGATACCCTCATCGTTATACTAAAATTCCTCCACCACATCCTAGCCCAAAACTTAATGATACTATTAACTAAACTCATCCTTCTTGTGATGCTCAGCCAACGCAAAATCTTCCACCACCCTTAATGGGCTTAACCTTGTGCCGACTTATAGAAAGTCCTCATGATATTATACGACACGGATTAGGGTATCATGTGCAAGAGGAATTTCCTATGAGGAATGGGAATCAACTCCTCGATGTACTTTCACAAGTCCTCAACTTTAACAGATGAAATTTTTCAACTTCCTATTTGGGACCTTTTCCAACTTTTCAAACCCAATTTAGCCACTTTTGAATCCTAACAAAACCTCTATGGTTAAATTTAAGCAAATTTGAATAATTTGAAGCAAAATTTTCAATAACTTTCACTATAATCAATGCATCAATTTTATAGAAAGTTGAAATTATAATAAAATATATTTTACTTAGTTAACTGCCCTAAAAGTGGTCCATGTTGACGTCCAAGTAGAGATCGCACCACATAATTTTTTGAAGTTGTGCCACAAAATTTTTCGAAGGCTAAACATATATTTTCAGAAAACATAAACTTCGATGTCCGAAAATAGGGGATAAATGATACATCTCTAAAAAATTCACTCGATCAACATGAATCTCGAGATAATAATTGAATTTAAAACTTTTAAAATTAAATTCAAGACCATCCAAACTTTAATTTAAACAAACTTATAATCAAACTATATGTCTTGGCAAGACAAACCCATCTGATTTGAGCATACATGAACCCAAATCAAGCACTCAAAGCCTATCTAAGAACTTATGAATGTTATTTAAAGATAAATCGGTCTTCAAATCTTGCGTATTTATAATCAAATCGAATGGCTTAATGAGACGAATCGAATGAGCCCAAAATCATTTGATTGTTGATATCATTAAGGTACTCAAAAGCTAGATAAATGATCAATGATCAAAGGAATCAATATGGATTACCAAAAAGCGTTTTGGATTTGGCCAATTTTATCAAGATACTCCTCACAAAAGGCTGCAAATAGAGTTCTATTTTCAACCTGAAGAAAGGTTTGGGAGCTAAGAGAGCTAAAGAACTCTATTATATTTTTTTGCAATCGCCAAATATCACAACAAGCAATCACCACCAAACCTTCGTCCAATGGCTATTGTTGCTTGACTGTTAACATCCAACATGTTGTTAGTTTGGTCTTCTTGTTAACATCCAATTTTTGTAATCCCTGTAACAAAATCAAACAATTATTCCAGTGTATAATCCCATATTCTTCATTTGTGAGAAAGGGAGAACTCTTGTATCTTCCATTATTTAGTGGATTCATTTATATGGGGCATTTCACATAAAAATTGTAGTGTCTCCTAGAAACTTTTATATGCCATTGATGAATATTTGTATAAAACTAAGATATTAAATACTCTATCATCACAATTTTCTAGCACGTAATGATAACTTTAGTTGTTAACTTATAGGTTATGATTACTTCTGTAATTACACTAAACTTAATGAAGTTTAATTATTTTTTATTTCATTATATTCATTGAGTTGTTCTGATATAATTTCATATATAATAATATAAATTATCATTTAAGTGTTATACTGATTAAGTTATTATTATTATTACTATTTGGGTTCTACTGCTACTGTTTTCAGAAGAGTTTTGGGAATGCTTTTTTAATATTTTTTATATTGATTTGAAGAGCAAAAGGCTAATGTAAAATCAAGTAAGATGGCTTTTCTAGTCTTACTCTTTTTGGAGGAAAAATAGAAAAAATGTCAAAGTGTTCATCTTTAAATAAATCTCATCAAGGCTTTGTTATGGTAAAATCAACTCTCCATCAATCTCTTTGGGTTTCTCTAATGTTATTTTACATCGTCTATTTTACAATATATTGTAGAGAAGATTGTAATTATCTTAAGGTAAAAGCTTTTAACCACATCCAAAGTATTGGAACACTCTGGCTAGGTTTTTATATTGTAATATTATGGTTGTGAATTCTAGTGAGACTTCTAGAGCTATAAAGCTTAAGTTGTTGAGGTGCTCTTGTTAGAATAAGAAGTTGGCATTATTGCCTTGAATTTATATTGTGTGAAGATTTTTCCACATAGTTTATGAATGAAGTAGCTTGAATTGTGATGGCAAGTCATGTAATGGAACCTCAAGGGAGGGAGAGAAAAGATTTAAGCGTGGATATAAGTAAGTTGAGTGTTAAGCCATATTAAAATATTTTTTGCTCAATCTCAATAGCTTAGATTTCATTCCCTGGACAGTAAAGTATTGCATGTGATGAATGTTTACATGATGAATGTTATGATATATACTCTTGCCATCTTGTGTAAAGTAGATGCACTCTCATATAACATAGATCTATTCACATCACCATCATCTTCTTGTGAACATTTGTTAATGGTATCTTTTGCATTTATTGATTTGTTCATCATAGCTTGTATGGTTAAGTAAATCTTTGCAATTAAACTTAATAGTTTTATCACTTACTTGCTTATCCATATAAGCAGATTCATTAGATCACCAATGTTGTGTTTGGATTGATTGCTTAACAATTTATTTCGACATGTTTAATTGTGTAGATTTTGAGTTAAGAAGAATTTCAAAGCAGCATATAATAATCCTAGCAGAGCAATTATAATATTCCTTAACCCCATTTTATGGTAACATAAATCACCCTAGGTTACACCCAAATAGCATAAACCACTCTCCAATTATATAGAGCTTTCATATTTTAATATTCTCAAAGTTAACACTACCCCTTCAGTCCGAGCAGATATATCAAATAGCTCATCTTGTTGAATAATCAAGAAAAAGGGCAATAACTCAAACGTAGAACCTTTGCTAAAATATTTACCACTTAGTTTGGTATGGAGACATAAGGAGTGACAATCTTCTTAGAGAGCACGACATTCTTAATGAAATAAAAATTAGCCTTAATACATTTGGTTCTTTCATGGAATGCAACATTACTAGCACAATAGATGGCAACACAATTGTCATGCTATAAAATCATGAGATGTGTAACCTGAAAACCAACCCTCCTAAAAAAGTTTTTTACATCCAAATATCTAGAAAACTTGGTTCAAGCTAAATCAAATCAGTTCAAGCTAAATCAAGTCAGTTCAAGCCACGCTAACTTGATCTTATACTCACTAGCCTACAAGAGAACTCGCCTCAAACAGGCAACTATGATCCAAGAATTAGTCCCAGTTAGTGAGTAAAGCTCATTAGTTGGCCCAACCGACTATTATCTATGAAGTCGCCACTGATGACTAATCAATGAGAGATGACTTCTCAATGAAAACTATTAACTATCCACTCAGCTACCAAATTATCTATACATACCAAGTCTACGACATCTTCAAAGCTCAGCAGACGGCTTCATGTAGGACCTTCTAATTAGGCTACACAATTATTGTATTTTATCTTATTTCTTGTATACTCATGTATGCAACCGATCTTTTAACAGTCAATCTCCAACCCAGATATATAAATAAGGGTGGAGCAGTAAGCTCAATTTACTCAATTTTCTATAATCAAGCATATAATATTCTCAATATAATTGAATGAGATTCATAGATATTTTCGGATTCAACAGAATGAAGATTCATAAAGCTAACCTCTAAATAGTTCTCATAAGGCTAATAAAGATAATGAAGATGAGAAGAGGAGCTTCTTGGATGCTTTAGCATTGAAATCCAAAACAGCATTGCCAATAACTTTCTTTTAGCTTAAGTACTTATAAGGACCTTAATAGTTCATACGACCCACATCAAACAGGATATATTTCACACAATAATTACAAGAATTGTGTTTAATCGTCAAAAATAAGTTTATAAAAAGAAACCTGCAGGAAACTTGGAGCTCGGTCCAGGATGAAAAAGTTTAAAATAAGTGTTATCAGACTTAAACTTCATTTGTCCACTTCGTGCAACACGTCCAGGCTTTAATTTCCAGTTGGCTCATTATAGGAGTGATCAAGAAAAAACAGCATGAATCAAAATTCTGAAAAGGTAAGCCGTAGGTGAGGACTTGCCTTACCCATGAAAGCGGCAAATGCTGTCTTCAGTCCCAGTACATCCACAAAACGCTCGCAAGCGGGAGGATATTTGGTCATTGCAAAATCAAGGGCTCTAATGGCAGAGCCATATGCAGACTTCTTCTGCTTCATGATGATGATCATTAGCTCCACTCCTTCAGATTTGATGAACCTCTCCTTGTTTTCCACCGGCATCAACAGGCAACACAAGCAATCAAATAAATTCTCCAGCATCTCTTCTTCATCTGAGCTCTTCGGATCCCTAGACTTGTACATCGCCACAGCCTGCAATACCCCATCCACACCGTTCATCTGACCTAACCTCTTCTGGTTCGCAGTGCTGTTCTGCAGCAGAATGGCCAAGATCTCTGAAGCGTACTGCTTGTTGCCATCGAACTCCCGTATCTTAATCCTCCCTAGAAGCCACCTCAGAAGCTTTGTCCGCTCACAGACGAGCTCCGCTACCGCAGGTTTTACCTCGATCATGTTCTCGACGGTGGCCAGTGTATTGTATATGGCGGCAGTCTCGTCGGGATCAGACTCGGAAAGGCGGCTGATATTCTGGACGAGAAGCTCGAGCGCGTTGTTTTCGATCAGGGCGTCAACGAGGATGCGAGCGGGCTCGTCATTGTCCTCCAAAACGTCCTCATCTGTGAGATCCATGAGGAGGCCCACCACATCGATGGCGATGTCGATGTTATCATGGCCGAGCAGATCGACAATTGAGGGAACTGTGTTGAGGGCTACGAGCTCAGGGTAGAGCTCGGGTCCGCCGGCGAGGATCTTCAGCCGTTCAATCTCCTCATGGAGCTCGACTTCCGAGTCGGCGAATTTATCCGGTTGCTCGGGGTACTTCATGCGGGTCTCGAGGTTATCGCGGAGGCGGCGTTCGAAGGATAGCACGAGCTTCTTCATGGCTCTGAGGTCAAGGACCTCCACGCCGCCGTTGTGGGAGCTCTCCACAGCCTCAAGAAGGGACAGATCGATTCCTCCAAAACCGCTTTCTCCATTGAAGCCGCCATTTTCAGAAACCAAAGGAAGGACCCCCGTTTCCTCTTCTCTCCTGCGCTTGGAGCGGTGATCCATGGCGAGAACCAAAACCCTTATCCTGTAAAGCTCTATCTAAAACCCTTTCGGGCAGGCGTCGGAAAGCAGGAGACGATGGTAAAGGCTTCAAGTAATCGATTCTTTTTTTGAGCGAAAACTTTTCAATTCTAGATCAACATCAAAAATATTAATATTACATTTCTATCATCAATAGAATAAATTTTAGAGCATTAAATGAAATATTAAAGTTTATATGATTGTATAAATGGTAGAAATGAATTATAAGAGTGATATATTTGATATTAAAGTTGTATATGGATGGTAGTCATGTAATATTAATATTTTGGGTGTTATATATGTAAATAACATGAAATAAAGTGGTGTGTATGTAAATTTTCCAATAATTTATTATTATGATATTTGATTTTGTACTAATTAGTATATATAATTGGCATAATTAAATATTTATTAATTAGTTTTTTTTTATTTTATTTGTTCCAAATTTATTTAAAGAGGTTTAAAGACGATTATATAACGAAAAAAAAAAAAGAGCGCACCAAATTGTAATTCATATTCTTCTTCAATATAGTGAAATCATTATCCTCAAAGACGATTATATAAGGAAAAAAAAAAGAGCGCACCAAATTGTAATTCATATTCTTTTTCAATATAGTGAAATCATTATCCTCTCTCCATGTGCATATGCATCTTCGGCAAACCACATAATTCATTATGTTCTTTTGTGTTGATTGTGTTGTGTGATTTTTTTTTTTATGTTTCCGTTGTGTGTGTATAACAATTGGTATAAGAGCCAATTTCTAGTAACAGCATGAAGAACAAAACAAGTTTATGTTCTTTATGATTTGTTTAGGTGAAGAAAACAACGATCGAGTACGACACAAAGGTTGTGCGAGAAATGATCGTGTGGTGGCTTGGGGTCGCTCATCTGAAGTGGAAGGCACATTTCTTCATGTGAAGGCTCGAAGCAAACATTCAGTACGGTGCGCTGGATTACGTGTATTTGGAAGCTGAATCGTGCGTGAAGTTGTAGGTCCGCGCGAGGGTTTTGCCTAATCATGTGGAACATATGTGTAGTTGAGGTATGAGTGATCGCATGTATTATGCTCGTGTTAGATTGGTGGCATGCATGTAGGCAGGATGAAACCTCTTCTTCTTGCTTGTTGGGTATATCGAACGAGACATGGGCGGGTCGAGCGAATACTCACGTGTGTTGTTTGGAGACCTGCAAGAGCGGTGCTTGCATATAGCACATGCGACTGTGTGGAGAAGGTCATTGCGTGTAGATTGCGGGCATAGGTCATAGGGAGCAAGGTTCGACTGAATAGAGCACAGGTACTCCAAATCTCATATTTTTGCAGAAACAATAATATTGGGTAGTTTGGTCACATAAAATCGAGCAGAGTCAAGTAAAATCAAGACAATTGATTGTCTATGTGATTTTGTGGTTGGGCTATTGATTTTGTTCCTAATTGTTAATTGAAAGAGAGTTGGATTGGTGCAACTTTTAGTTACATGAGAAAACTGAAACTTTTTGGAGCTATGAGATCTAGTGGAGCCATGAATGCGTCCATCTCGATGGTGGAGAATGCGTCGATCCATTAGGCAGTCACACATCTTGACAAAATTGATGTGAATATATTTGACGCCAAATGGAACTTTGGTATTTGTCAATGTGAAAGGATGGATGCACTATGCTCTTTGAATCTATAAAAAGTTTTGGAGAATAATGAACGACCTGAGGTGATTTCAAAGAGAGATTGGCAAAAAATGAACAAAAGTGTTTGTAGCTTGATAAAAAAATTATCTATCTCAGGAATTGAAAGACCCATATTGAATAGTTTGATCATATGTCATTTATTTAGTATTTTAGTGTCTTTAAGACCACAAAATTAAATAATCTTAAGCTCGATAGATTTGTGTTATCAAGATGCTTGATTTGAAATTTGGAGATTGTTTATTCTGCTAGTTAATATCATGAAATTTTCAATCAAATTTAATACCTTCGATATGGGCTCGTGTGAAACCCCTCAGAATTTCATTATTTTGAGTGCAGTTACTCCGTACGAATTGACCTTAGTACGGGACGAACTGAAAAAAATTGTAAAAATCTGTATGGTTCGTACGTACGAACCTGAATTCGTCTGGGACGAAATTTGTCCAGAGGAGAAATCGTCCCGGGACGAATAGGAATCGTCCCGTACGATCCTATTTTGTATATATATATATCTGATTTGAGATATTTTAAGATATTTTTGAAGAGAGAGAAAGAGAAGAAAAGAGAAGAGGAAAGCTTGGTTTAGGAGACCGCGGAGCGATTTTCGTCCGTCGCCGCTGTTAGAAGAATTGTTTGTCTCGAAGTAAGGAATCCTAATCCTATTTCTGATTTCGAAGATTTCGTGTTTTGATATTTTTCTTCTCAGTTTTATGTTTCCGTTACCGAAAAACGTGCATATCTTTGTATTGTCGAAACTTTTACCGCGTAGCTTTTGTTATGTTATAGAAATGATAATTTTGCATGATTTGAGTATTTTCTGAGAAGTTTTCATCGGATATTTTGAATTTTGTGGGATTTTTATCGAATAGAAAATTGTATGGATGTTGAAAAATATTGATTCAGTACAAGTAAAGTTTTGAAACGTTGTTTTACACGATTTCTAGTAATTTGCTAATTTTCTGGAACTGTGCATTTTATAACGACTTCTATCTACTATACGATATTTTAAGGGGTTTTCTAAATTGAGCTAAATCATGTTTATTGGTTGCAATGTGTTGATGATATGATGATGATGTGGTAATATGATTGAAATTGTTGTTATATTACTGTGATACTGTTGTATGTGTGAAAGACAAATAAAGACTGGTTGAATCGTTAGTTGAAAACTGATTGACCTGTACAGAATGGTGGGCCGACGGACTTTCCTTTAAAAAGGGTTTGATGTTATCCTCTACTGATCATGTGATTACTGAATGGAGTTATAAGGAGATAATTATTGTGCCGACGGGCAAAGAGTGACGACTCTTTTCACTGAGCCAACGGATACAAGACACAAGACACTGATATTGATACAAGACTGAAAACACCTTAATAGCAGTGCTTTTACTTGCTCTGTATGGCTAATGTACTGAATTGCATATTTAGCAATATTGTTACTACTACTGTACGGATTTACTGATACTAACGCATTTACTGATACTGAACGGATATATTACTATACGGTTTTATCGATTTTTTACGGATTTATTGTTAATGTATGATTTCACGATTATAACATTACTGTTCATGTCACTGAATTGTTACTGATACTAATACATACACTGATACTACTGATTCATTGTACTGACGTTTTGCACGTAATATACTGTGTAAGTGACATGTGATTCATTGAACACGTGATATAGATTATTGGATTGCATGTGATTCACTGATCACGTGATATTGAATAATTGAATTGCAAGTGTATATTTTGATATGATTCTACGGCATTGATTGATTCCAAAATTTTCTAACGATGTTATGATTTTATTTCATTGATTTGATTTCAATAGTCACGAACGACATTAATGATTTGACGTTTTATACCGATTGATATTATTGAACCAATGAATTCTCTTTATACGATTGACATTATTGCCATGATGATTTATTGACTGATTTGATTTGTATTATCGATACGAAGATTTTTTTAACGATTTAATTGAGATTTTAAATATGAAGATTTGTCTACTGAATTGACTGATGTTATTGATACGACTACTACTGTAGAGATTTGACGCACGTATTGATTCATTGAGCTTTACGAACTTTTATACTGTTTATTTGATTATTCTATTGATAATGATGGCTTCACACGTTTCTGTATTGATTACCGTTTCTGTATTGATTTCTGTTTATGTACTGATTCATATTTTTGCATTGACTCAATGATCATGTGTAAGTGACTGCTATGATTTGACTGATTGGCATGCATATTGCTCCTATACCGTGCTTTGATTTCAGTTGTAGGTTTTTGGTGACCTGCTGGGCTTTTTGAAGCTCATTATATGTGGTTAATATTTTCAGGTCAGGGTAAAGAAGCAGGAGATTGAGGTTGAACAGGAATCTTCAAGTTTTTGTCTTTTTTATAGTGATTCTTTTTGTACTCATGACAGGATGGATTACATGTGATTAAAGTGTAGATCCTTAGTATTGTAAATGAACTTTTGGGATTGAATAGAAATGTTTACTTGATGTTTTAAATTATAGATTTTGTTAGACTGTTTATCACTGATTGGTGACTATAGACAGCTATGGTAGAAGATTGACTTAAATGATTGACATAATAATTTTTCCAAGTTAGATATTGGGACGTCACAGCTCGTATGACTCATATTGTACCATTTTTTATTTCATTAGGATCACCTTATAGAGATATTTAATTTGACTATAAGTTTGTTGAAATCAAAATTAGGATGTTCGTAAATTTAATTTTAAAAAAATTCAATTTAAAAACATCTCAATATTTATGCTTGATATGATAGAATTTTTATGCACTAATAATTGAAAAGTGAGGGTATTGTTTTAAGACTTTTAACTTTCTTAACTTATTTAAAATATATATTTTTAAAATAAAAAATATATAATTTGAGAAAATTACTTTGAAATTAAATTCTCTTATAATTTATAATTTTAAAAATTGAAGGATATATATTTGCTCTACGACGGCAGCCGCTTTAATATGTTTCAAATTTGAAGAACAATAAAAAACAAAAGTCCTATTGGTCATATATTAAAGTTACTCGTTGTTTTATAAATCCACGAGCTTATTTCCTAGAAAGGAAGTCAAGGGTGTTTTCGTAAATCAATATACAAGAACCGTCCTACCCCCTCTCTCTCCTTCCGCGTTCTCTGGCATATAAAAACCGCTAGGTCCTCTCCTTCGCTCCTGCGCTCATCGGAGGAGAAGACCTTGAGATCTAGTACATTTCTTCCACCGCCTCGCTCTTCTCTTTATGCCGGTTTGAGCTCTTTGACAGGATTTCACGTATGAGCTGGTTTGATAATCTCCGCGGATTGTCGGATCCGAGCCATTTCTTGGATGGTCTCTTGATCTTTATCCTCTATCATTGCCCTATACGTTCCAATTCTTCGTCAATACCTTTGAATTGGAAATCGTAAGTCTTGGATCCGGGATCGCGGTCTAGAAAATTTTTTCTTCGCAATGGAATCGAAGAATCTTTCATCCTGCGAGGATTTCTCAGTCACCGGTAATAATTTCTTTCCGTCTTATGAGTGAATGCATGTTGTTTGAGCTCGTTCGCGTGTTTAACATGGGCAATTGGCGGCTGATATGTTAATTAATTTCGGTTTGGTATTTTACTAATTTTAGTTTCTATTGGAAACTGGAGAAGATTGGATTTGGAGTCCATGAATAGTAGCTTTCTCTTTAATGTTGAATTGAGACCCATCTATTATTAAGTTTTATTTTGATTTTGTGATGTTTGACTTTCCAGGATAATACTTATTTAGCTGTTTCTTCAAAGTCCGTACCTCTGATCCGGCAACTTATTTAGAATTATTCTTATAGAATTTTTATTTGATAAACATCAGAAAATTCTTCTAATCAAGCAGAATTTTGACAAAATTTTTAGATCTTAAAGCACTGAAGTATTTAGGGCAGAAGTTGCAAGAATTGGCTAGGAGATCATCTAAACTCTAATTTCAATAAATTTGTAGTTGAAACGATGAGATTTTATGAGTCGAAAAATGTTTAGATCTGAGTTTGAATGGGCTTATATAAAATTTCTTAATATAGTTGAAAATTTATCAAAGCCATTTGAGCCATTTGAGGGGTGAAAATTCCTCCAGAATTTACGTCATTATAGTTGAAATAAGCTTGATGTGACAGTTCCATTGAGTCCAAGATCACTCAATTTTGTGTTCATTAAAACATTGAGATGCTCCCAAAAAATAAACTAATCAAAGGGTACCTATTCAAGCTATTTGATGGAGTGTTCAAGGTTATTTTAAAAATGATCATAATGCACCATTTTGGAAATTTATGAATAGACCCTCTTCCTATGTATTGGAAGAGGACTTTTGGTAAAGAGAATTATCTAACTTTAAAGAATTCTAGAGCTCTTTCCATCATTTAGAGCCCCAATTGCTCGCCTTTGGGATTACACCTATCCAAGTATCTCCGCTTTTTCCTAGTCATCTGGTATTCACTCCGGCTAAGAGAACAATCAAGTTGGGCACCTTCAAGCATTTAATGATACGAGGATCATTTGATTCGATGGCGTGGGATCCATTTGAGGTATAGTGGAAGTTAATAAGAGAATTTGAGAGTTGGTATATGATATACCTGAGAGTATCCCAAGCTAGGAGTATTGTTGCCAAAAGGACTCTAGGATGAGAAGAGAGCTCAGAAGGGTTTTTGGGTAAATTCATAAGAAATATATGCCAAGTGCCAAGTAGATGTTCTGAAAACAATAGATATCAAGTGGGGAGCAGGCGATCGTAAGAGACATTCTAAAAGAAGCCTTACACAACATATGAGCTAGTGATTTTGAGAAGAATTTCAAAAGGCAGCTAATCGATGATTTGACTTTGGACCTCATTAATCATATAATAATAATGATAGTCTGGCAATGTCATTTTATGTTTGTGGCATCAATAATGGGCATCATACGTTGTAACTTACTTATTTAGAGTTATGGTTTCCTGTAATAAAGGTATGCCACATATTTTGTGTCATTTCCATATTAAATGTAGCCTATGTTGTGACTGGCATGCCCTATTTTATAAAGGAAAGTTTGATCTGTCAAAGTATATACGCTGGTTAGTAGAGAGTTTCCTTGGTTAGAATGAGTAATTTTTGTGTGCCTCTAAGACTTTCGATGCTATTTTTTCCTCTAGATCTAAAATTATAGAAAAGAACTTGAAGTCAACAGACAAAACTATAGGAATACTCAAATCAGTAAGTCATCTTTTTAGTGATACCAAGGTTGTGGAAAACTTGCTTATTTGACTTCATATTCAATTTTCTATGACAAAATCACATCATATAGATTGTTGACCAACGGCAACTCAAGAATCTGTGTATAAACTATACCTTAAGAAAAGTTTTAAAAACCTTTAGAGTGTACACATCAAGAGGAGCATCCATAAATTTTGATGAAAGTAGAAATCAAAATAACTTCTTAAAGTCTATAATTAGGGAATAGATATATGACTTTGGGAATTGATATATTCGACAAGTTTATTGTTTTGAAAAATTTTCTCTTATCAAATGATAATATTTTGATAGTAAAAATTTTTTAAGGTTGATTATGATGTTTGCAACATCATAAAAGTTTCAAAATTTTTGTACTTTTGATTTCAACGTAGAAATTTGTCGAATGAAAAAGCGTCTCAATTTTGCATCAAAATTTTCAAAAATGATTTTTTTTTTCAAAAATAAAGGCAATAAAGTTTCCCATTGAAAATTTTTAGGCGAAGTATATATGTGTGGATGAGCTTACATTTAAAATCATGATTAAAATGACGAATGGTCGGAAAAAATAACTAAAAATTATAAAATTTCGGTTGAAAATCATATAAGATTGAGTTGTTAGTCGAACTTCCGACCTTCTTGTAGGAACCTCATTTATTTTCATTTCTATACCACTCCGCTCATTTCATAAAAAATTCCGCATCTCATGTGTGTGGTTGGCTATTTATTTGTGTGTGAAATTTTCATGCAAAATTAAGATAATTAAATATACCTAAACCGCTGTAACAATATCAAATTCGCTATGTTTTTTTATTCATTTTACTCCCCTCATTGTTTATATAAATCTTGTTGGTAAATATTTCTCATGTTTGAAAGCTTTGATTTTTAATACCGAGCAGTTTTATTATGAGCTAGCTGCTGCTGCTGCAAAATCTATCTGCTAAGGATGCTGGTATTTGATGTTTATAAAATGATGTATTTGAATTTCCATATGTATTCTTATCATTCTCTTTTGTTTAGATTACAAAATTGTAATATTATTTTAGAGTTGTCTCCTCAGACTTCAGTTGGATAGTGGTGGGTACATAAGTGACAATCAAATTTGATTGTACATGATTAAGGTTGCTATTAGAGGAAGCTTTCTAAATTTGTATATGTCCATTAGTTTGATTCTGATTCAAGTCCTACAGGTGCAGTCTACATTTTGCATTAAATGTCTTAGTATTAGTTGCATATTTTTTACTAAAGTAATCACCATCTTTGGTTATTACATATCTGAATTTAAACAATCTTACATTTGGAATTCTTGAATCCTTATCCAATCCAGATTCTCATGTGATATTGTATTTTTAATTGCTGAACCCTTTTAACCTTTGATCGTAGGTTCCTTCTTCTCACCCATTGAGAAGAAGCCTTCCCCACCTTCAGTGATTGTAATTGGTGGAGGAATTTCAGGAATTGCGGCTGCTCGGGCATTGACCAATGCTTCATTCAAGGTAATAGTTTTGCTGTTGCAGTGATGTTGTTTATTTTATTACAGATGATACTTAATATATGGGTATGTTTCAAGAAATTTGCTGGTTATTTGGAATTTCATTAGTATTTTTCTAATGTTATATGTGATTGCCGCAAATATTATTATGATTTATGAGGTTCAAATTCACTTTAGGTCATTCTTTTGGAATCTCGTGATCGGATTGGAGGCCGGGTGCACACAGACTATTCTTTTATGTGTCCTGTTGATATGGGTGCATCATGGTAAATTTATTTGTTTTATTTGCTCCTTTTTGTACGTCAGTCACATGCTTTTAATGTTTTAACTCCACGTGTTTCTATTTCATTGAGCCCGTTTGCTTTCTATAACCATGCAGGCTTCACGGTGTTTGTAATGAGAACTCCTTGGCTCCATTTATTCGGTTATTAGGATTGAAGCTATATCGCACGAGTGGTGACAACTCCATTCTGTATGACCATGACCTTGAAAGGTGCTTTAAAACCTTTAATCTGAGTCTTCATCCTTAATTGTTAATGTTTACCATATTCTCTAGTTTTGTAACCCCAAGCAAATAAATCCTTTTTTTTTCATTCTCTTATTGTTAAACCTTTGTTTAAATTGGACCACTACTGCAACTATTATTTCAAATCTCCGTTCCTTTCGTGAAGCTTATATTTAGCATGGTTGGACCTTCTAGTGTTTATTGGTACTACATATTACAATTATAATTTTTCCATGCTTGGATCTTGATTTAATGTCATGGTTTTGACATAGTATTTACCCTACAAAATGTACAATCCTTGCTTCCACTTAGTTTCTTCTCATTTTGCCGCACCCTTTGTCAAAATTTTCTTCCTCTGCATCCTACAAAAATACATGAAGGCATTGTGGAGGTTGTTCTGCTGTTTTACAGCTACATGTAAATTTTATTCAATTGGTATGGATATGTGAGTTTTTATGGATAATCTCAAAGTAGCTCGAATAGATATTTAAATATTATATGTTACTAATGTAATGTTAAAATTTTCAAGTGTCTGATAATCTTAAGCAGTTTAGCAGCTTGGTCATTTTTTTCTTTGTTTTTTATTAATATTAAAATGCTTCATGCAGCTATGCACTTTTTGGCATGGATGGCCAACAGGTTCCTCAAGAGCTCGTCATTAAAGTTGGAGAAGCATTTGAGAAAATTCTCAAAGAGGTAATAAATTGTTTGTTTGAAATTTGTAAGTTTTGAATTTTATATTGATATAGTTTCATATACATGAGCTTGATGGTGATTTCACAGACGATGAAAGTTAGAGATGAACATCTAGATGACATGTCTGTTTTGCAAGCAATTTCTATTGTTTTGGATAAGCATCCGGAGTTAAGGTATAAATGGTATTTTTTTTTGCTTCTGAAAGTTTTGAGTGCAATTGATTTGCTTCTGATCATTTTGTAGGCAAAAAGGTTTAGCCTATGAAGTGTTACAATGGTATATATGTAGAATGGAAGCATGGTTTGCTGCAGATGTAGATGCTATATCACTTAAAAACTGGGATCAGGTAACAACCAATTTGAAGAAACACTTACTCATGAATCATGATCTAATCCTAAAGATTGGTTCATTCTTGTTTACTTTTGGAACGGTTTTTTTATTGCTTCTTGAAGCAGCTTTTTAGTATAAAATTTTTTATACTAAAAAGCTACTTCAAGAAGCAATAAAAAAGCGTCCCAAACGAAAAGCCTAAGAAAGGGAACTTTTGAACCAAGTTAGCTTAAGGTTCAATGAAAACTCTTCAGCGTGGTGTTCTTGTGAATGCAGGAGCATGTGTTAACTGGCGGTCATGCTCTCATGGTGCAAGGTTACAATCCTTTAATTGAAGCTCTAGCTGGAGACCTTAATATCCGTCTGAACCACAGGTATCGGCTTTTGGAAGGCCATTTCTTATCTGCTAAACGCAGTTTTCGTGATATCTATAGTTATATTGGTGTTCGATCATGTTAGTTACCATTGGTAACATTTAATTTTTTACCATATTCACTTTTTTATTATGGCAAGCAGGGTGACAAAAATTGTTCAGCGCTGCAATCTAGTTATAGTCACTGTCGAGGGAGGAACCAACTTCGTAGCCGATGCTGCTATAATAACTGTTCCTCTTGGAGTTCTCAAAGCAAACCTGATCGAATTTGAGCCTAAACTACCTGATTGGAAACTCTCGGCCATTTCCGATATCGGCGTTGGCATTGAGAACAAAGTAGCTTTACGCTTCAGTACTGTTTTCTGGCCAAACGTTGAGGTATTAGGCGTTGTTGCTCCAATATCACAGGCTTGTGGCTACTTTCTCAATCTACACAAGGCAACTGGAAATCCTGTTTTAGTATACATGGCTGCCGGGAGCTTTGCTGTCGAACTGGAGAAGTTATCAGATGGGGAAGCCGTTAACTTTGTTATGTTGCAACTCAAGAATATTCTTCCACATGCAACACGACCTGTAAGCTCTTATAACCATCATTCTTTTCTCAGTTCCTGAAGCTTTGAATTTGAAAATGCTAAGCTAAATGCCGTTAACTTTCTGCAGGCACAATATTTGGTTTCACGATGGGGATCCGATATCAATTCGCTCGGTTCCTACTCTTGTGATCTGGTTGGAAAGCCAGCAGATCTTTATGAGAGGTTCCGGGCGCCTGTTGATAACCTCTATTTTGCCGGCGAAGCGGCGAGCATCGACCACTCTGGCTCTGTGCATGGAGCATATTCTTCAGGCATATCGGCTGCTGAAGACTGCCAAAGACGTCTGCAAATGCAGTATGGTATTTCAGATCTTCTCAAGATTGTGTTTAGGGAGGAAATGTCTGAAATCATAGTTCCTCTTCAAATTTCAAGAATGTAATGAAACCTTCTTCTCATTTGACGCATTCTTAACTGATTATTTGGACCTTAAGGGATAACCTCTCCTCTATTCCTTTTAAGATTGGTGCAGTTAAATAATTCTAAATGTTTTATGGTTTTGCTGAGATAGTTTGATGTTTTATTATGCTTTTTGTTGTTTTGGAATTTCTGTTTTACTGAAATATCTTTTGGCTCGTGATATGGTTAGAACTTTGAGGCTCTGTTTGGCTTGAAGGAGTTGGAGATGACGTAAATGAATTTTCTTTAGGTAATAATTAAAAAATCTTCGCTATTTAACATGTGGCTGAAAATTTTCAATTCAGTTACTTCTTTTGCATTCTCATCTTTCCTTTCAATTCATCTATGATCTACACTACATAAAGCCGAGTTTTTGGCTCTAATATAATTCATAGCTAATTAGTTTTATTCAGGAAATATCAATAAATGTATTTTCCTAAAGATTAAAAATACAAATGATTTATTATTCAAATTGGATCCATAATTGTAATTTACAAGAGTGGACTTATATATATATATAGTTGTGTCCTAGAATATTTGTAGTGGTAGAGAGATAAAATTTTATGTTTTAGTTTTATAATGAAGGTGGTCATGATGAACATTGTCCGGCGATGAAGGTCAGAAGAATTGTAGTCGACGGGCGACATTGGTTAGGAAGATTGCAGTTGGGCGACGGAGATTGGAAAAACTTTAGTCGGATAAAAGTGGTCGGAAGGATTGTGATTGGGCTCAGGAGGTTAGAAGGACCGTAGTTGGTGGGTGACGGAGGTCAGAAATCTGACAACAATTGGTGGTTGTGCGTAAGTCCGGTGACACTTGGTGGCCGAGCGGAAATCTTAGTTGATGGTCGGGTGAAAATCCGACGTCAATTGGTGGCTAGGTATGATTGTGGTGACAGTTAGTGGTCGGGAGGAAATCCGACGATAGTTGGTGGTGGGCATAAATCAAGAGTAAGTTGGTGGCCGAGCGAAAATATGAAGACGATCGGTAGCTGTGTAAGTCCGACGATAGTTGATATACGGATGAAAGTCTAGTGACAATCAATGGCAGGACGGTGGTTGATGATGAGCTTAGTGGCAAGAGAAATATCTAATTTCTCTTCATCTCCTCTTTTATTTTCCTTTCTCCCCTTTTTCCCCATTGCTTGGTTCCCCTTCATGTGAAGAATGAGAGGCTATATATATATATATATAAGGACAAGTTGAGAGTGTTTTGAATAGACGACCGAATATCAACCCCTTGATTATGGATCATTTATTGAGTATTTGAGTGCCTTAATGATATCAAAATTAGATGATCTTGGGCTCGTTTGAATCGTCTCATCGAGCTGTTCTATTCAACTATGAGCACGTTACATTTGGAAATTGTTTGGTCATTTATTTTATGATTTGAACACTCCAGTTGCAAATTTGGTGCCGTTGGGTTTGCTTTTTCGTCACTGACGGAAGGAGGGACACGCCCCCCCCCCCCCTCCCCCCCAGCATCTCGACTCTGATTATTCTCAGATCTTAGGAATTCAGAGTCAGTATGGTTGTATCCGTGATCTATGGCTGACTTGACATCAGTGTTAAACATTCAGGTGCTTGTTCAAATTTCTGAAGAGATGTTGTTTCACATGCCCAGCTACTCCTTTTGCTGAAGTCAGTACTATGAACTTGACAACAACAAGAACTTACTCCACTCCATACAAAAATTACTTTCATAACTCTTGCAAGATAAAGGGGAAGAGGAGATTGTGTGCCGGCTAGCTGGAAGTTGGAAGAAAAAATTTGAGGAAAAAATAACGAGGGTACATAATAACAAGGTTGGCTAGCTCACATTAGACACCCTACTTTGCTTATTCCAATCAAACCAATGAAGCAAAGGTTGCATGCTAGCCTCTTCAACAAAGCCACAGCCTTCTTGTTTTGGTTCCTCACTTGGGACCTTGAGCAGCAAACATAACTATTTTAATTTAGACATCCCGGAATAAACTTCTTGCTTCGCCATGTTTTTCGAGACGTTCAGTTCGTCTGTAAGTTTGCTGAAATTGGAGTTGGAATGATCCTAGATTTAATTTCGGAAGTTCCTAGCTCAATTTTGCCTTGCGATTCGTGTCGATCATAATTAATTTTTGATGATATATCAAATATAAACATCAAATTTATTTCAATTTTATTTCTTGATAAAAAATATAAAACTCTATCGCTTAAAGGTCATTGCTATTTGCTGAGGATTTTATCTCAGAGCACCATCAGGCTTCATTTTTATCATAACTCATATGATATGAATGAATAATTCTTATTCTTTTGGGCAAAATTTTTAATTTATCTCTAATAATAATATATATTTAATAACAAGCAATAAAAACGTGCATAATTCGATAATTATATTAGAATAAGTATAATTAATTTTGAATGAAAAATTTTGAAAATATAAAAGAATAAAGATTAAAATATCCCCAAAAATACGAGATAATTAAACATTTTTTTTAATTATTTTAGTTCAAGCACATATTTATTTATTTTATTTTATTAAAATCGTTAATGATTAACATTTATAGCTCAGAACTATAAATAGCATACGCTTACATCTCAATTCTCACATGTGATTCATAGCTCATTTCTCCCGGAAGACCGGGTCTCTCTATCGGACGAAAATAAAACACATAGCTCAACGAAAAAACAGAATATATTTTTAGCCTTTAGATAAACTTTATGATTCGTGTAACCATATATGACAGGACTGCGAATCTTGAGAGCCTGAGAGGATTCAATTGAAAGTTGAAACACCGTGTCGCCGTCCTGACCGCTGCCTGCACAACGCTCCGCTTTACAAATTAAATTGAATCCAAAAAACAAGAAAATGAATTAAAACAAACCCTAGAATCCTCCTCTGCATCTCTCTACCTCCATTTCGTCTTCATGGCTGCACTCAACCGGTTCGTAAGAGCCGCCGCCGGTACGGCGGCCACGCTATCGGTTGCAAGAAGGGCGATGTCGGCGATTGCTTCCGAGTCTGGTGCCCGGATGCCGGCCAGCTTCGCGCGGGCGGGCTTGGCTCTTCCGGAGGTAAGGAGAGATCCAGCGGAGAGGAACGTGCAATGGGTATTCCTTGGGTGTCCTGGTGTGGGTAAGGGAACGTATGCCAGCCGCCTCTCGCAGTTCCTCGGCGTGCCTCATATTGCCACCGGGGATCTCGTCCGCGAAGAGATCTCCTCCGCCGGTCCGCTCGCTGGTCAGGTGAATCGTCGTAACTTGAGTTTGTTTTGAGATAATGAATTTAGGTTTTTGTTTGCTAGAGGTTGGACTTGTGTGCTTACTGTAGAACTGGTTAGGATTGAAAGCGATGGTTCGGGAAAACTTGGTGAAGGGTGGATTTTCTGATGAGATTTATTAAGTATTGGATTAGGATACAATGAAGTTGGTTTTTATTTTGTTTAACAGCAAATTGGGGTCTGACACAATTGTGTTTTTATGCTTGGCAAATGAACATAAATTAAAGGGTAAATAGGGTTTTTTTGGGATTGATCTGTACGTGAACCTTGATTTATCTCATAATTATGAAAATACTATAAAAACTTGATGGTTTGCTTTATGTTTGGTCTATGAGTTTATGATACATTTATCATAGGATCTAAAATCAGTAACGCATAAAAGAGGTAACCTAACAACTTATTTTCATAGTTTGAAGATCTTCCTTTAGTATATTGAGATCATTACGATCTTCTAGTTGATTCTCATCTTATTTTTGTAGATCTAGGCTGGCATCGTTAGCTACACATCTCAGGAGAAATTTATAATGTTCTAAAAACATCAAATGTTCAATCGTTTAAGTTATTGCTATAGGGGTTTAACTTGGAATCTTATTAAAAGAAATGAATGACTAAGCCTAAGTTGTGTGACTAATACAATAAGCACATGTAAATGTATAAATATATTTTTTTGCTAATTTTTTAACGCACGGGCAGTGTGACAAAGGTCATTCTATCCTCAGTCCGCTACTCATCAAGAATTAAGTTATTCCATATTTCTTCCATTTGAGTCCTAGCTTATCAATTTTCTGAAAATATTACTTTGAGATTTGAAGCGTTTGCATTTTTGTGGACACTAAGAGGAGATGATTTACCATTCTTTAAATATCAGTCGCATGGAAGTATGAAATGCTGTTCAGATTCCTTGTCATTGAAATATCAACCCTTTGAGAAATTAATGTGACTAAATTGCTTTTGCAGCTCAGTACACTAATTGAATTTTATTCTTTGGCCTTATTTATTTTGTAGCTTGAGGAGATTGTCAATAAAGGCAAATTGTTACCTGATGAAGTCATTATAGACTTGTTGTCAAAACGTCTTGAAGGTGGTGGAGCTAAGGGTGAATCAGGATTCATTCTTGATGGTTTTCCAAGGACAATCAGACAAGCAGTAAGCAAATAGTTTCATTTGGTTTGTTCAGGTTTTTTATTGAAATAAATTAAAAAAAGAAGCATACCTTTTTTAAAGATATTGTGATCAAATTGACTTGATTTTTGTGAACAATCCGAGTTCAGATTTTTGTTTATTAAGCTATCATCTACCTAAACTTGAACCCAGTAGAGAAGCTTGTTCAGTAGATGAGCCAACTTGCATTTGGCTCAGTTGTCACTGTTATGTCCATATGCATACTGGTTTATGAAATAAGTTAAACTTACATTAGGATTGTGACCTATGTACACCAATCTCATTCATGCCTGCATAAAATTTTTTAGATTTGTATCTGTGTATGTTTCTTTCAAACCTCAATTCGCTAGAGAGATTTGAAAACCTAACACTGCAATCCTTTTTGAAAGACTGATTGATTCTTGGTCAGTTCTGATTTGGATCCTACATTTTTTTTTCCATGGGATACAATTGTTTTTTTGGTCATTTTAGCCAGTATACCAAGCTGATCGGAAGCCGGAAGAGAATACACCAGTAGTTTTTCTTTTGGGTTCTCTTACTAGAATATTCACATTTCATTGCATCGAAGTGCAGCCTAATTTTTATTTCCAGTCTTTCTGACCCAGATTTTTAGTGTTATGATTTATAGCTATAAGTTCTAGGTAATTTTCCTTTGCTTTATTAGAAACATATTCGTGTGTTTAAACCTCTCTAGCAGTTAAGGAATTCCTGAAACTTATCCTATTAATGAACTTTGTGGTATTATCTCATGTCATTCTTCCCTATTCATGTAGACTCCTTATCAAACCTTGTCTTAACGTTATTAATTCAAGAATGATATTCCACTGTAATGCCAAGCAGTTATTATGAGGAAATATTGGTGATCATACTTGCAGTCCCTATTAGCCAAGAGGAAAATATTCTAGATAATAAGTACAATATATTCCCCTAAGTTTCATATGCAACTAGGAATTTTTAAAATTTTTTCCTTACATTTTATATTTACATAATCAGGTCTTATTTCTAAACTTTTTAAAGTAATTTTAAAATTCTCTTAGCCTTAAAGATGCCTGAATTTCCAATGGCAGAAGCAGGTATAAGAATACTGCTTAAGGCTTACGAATTTTTACATAGATTCTCATATTTCTTGCATTGTACTATTTAGATTATTGTCCCAGTATCAAGCAGCAATTTAATATATTGTTGTTTCTGTCATATCTTTTTTTTCTTTTTTGGGTCTAATATGATGATGGTATGTTGTAACCACCAAAATAGGTTGCTTATCTATTGAGAAATGAAGCATTTTTCACGCTTATAGTTGAATCAGATTATTTATAAATTACGGAAAATAATGTTTTCTATTTTGAGGCATCGTTACAAATCTAGAAATATCATGTCTCTGTACATGTGTTTGGAGCCCTTGAACCGAATTGCAGATGAAGGTTTTACTGTTAATTTTTCTAAAAAGCAACTTAGGTTACTTGATCAAGGTCTATTTGGGTATATCTGCTAGTAGTTTATTCGATCATGAAATATTGATATAAATTAAGGCCTTTCTTCGTGAAATATTTAAAGTAGTCCTTAGACTCGTACAATGGATGGGCTTGGTTATCAAGTTGAACTAATGTATGTAAATTAAACATGAATCTATAATGTTTGCATGCATGATAAGAGAAACACTTACAGAGCTGAAACATTGGATAGTAGAGTTACTTCTTATTACATTTTTTTTGAATTAGAAATGGACTATTGGTGAATTGCTTATTTGCCTTCACAATGAGTTCTATTTCTATTTACTTAAAGACTTTGACCTATGTTATTTCTAAAGCCACTTAAAATTAACATATTTATTCTTTGAAGGAGATAATTTAAGCATCTATGCTGTTCTTGATCTGATTGCTGCCTCATTTGAAAAATTAAATAAAAAAACTCGAGTATAATAGTTGATAGTTTATATTTTTTTTCCTTTGCTTGTTGCTAAAGATCTCCTACTAACGCTGCCAAATCTCCAAAGAACATGTTCCGTAGGAAAATTATACTTAAATTTCCTAACTAACAATTGAATTTTTCACCTAAATGATAAGAGAAACGAGCACTCGACAACAATAGTAATATTAATTTTTTGAAATGTACATTTTATGATAAGGGAAAGTCTCAAGTCCTACAACAAATAATTGAAAATATTTTAGCATAGAAATGTTAAGCCATTGGCTTTCATTTTAGCTATGCTTTTATGTTAAAATGAGTTTGACTATTAGTGTATTGATAGGAAATACTTGAGTTCGCAAGTAGCCCAACCCAAATCGAGAGTCAAACAGCAAAATTACTGCTGTCCACAGCAGTAAGACAGCCCAGATTTGCTGTTCACAGCAGGAAAAACAGCAAAATCAAGAGAAAACTGAGAGAAAACTCAACAAAGGACTTGTATTCCATTAGAAGATGAAATAAAATAGCAAGAAACAATTGATCCTCTATTCGAGAGGAGGATCATTCTCTCCCAATCTCTCTAGACGCCGCTAGAGCCCAAAAGAAATCCAAGAGATCTCAAATTTCAGCCAAAATTCAAGATATCCAGACCCTAGGAAAAATCAACTATCTAATGCATACAAATCAAAAGGAATTCCCTAAACAGTCCCTACATTCAAATTTCTCTCTCAAGTCCCTCAAAAATCCTTCCTAAAATGGTATCTCGTGAAATGCCGGTCCCGTTCGGACCGGATGGACCGGTCTAACATGTATCTAACCAAATTCTGGTCTTCCTTTGGTTCACACTCCCTAGCAATTGTTTAGAACTTATAGTTTAGTTGAGATTTATTGATACATGCAGGTTGTGCCTCTCATGGGTCTTGTCTTCTTTTATCATGGTTAAGCAATGTTCACGAGTGAGTGACTCTCACAATAACTCCACATGTTTGCGTAGGCATTTGGTGAATGGTACTTAATGATATAAAAAACTTTCATATGAGGGTGAGCGATGGTTGATATAAAGAGCTCTCATATGATAAAATACATGAAAACCTCAACTTTAGTTCATATTAGAAACGTGAAAAAATATGTTGATATTAAAATACAAAGCATTTGACCCTCAACCATTGAGCAAATTATTAGGTGCAGACACCGGACAGAGAGAATTATCCAGATTTCTTTCTGTCTACAGTAAAATCACAGTCAAAGTGCAACTGCTACAGTAACTGCGCTTTTACTGTAGACAGAGAGAAATTTGGATGATTCTCTCTGTCTGGTATCCGCACCTAATAATTTCTCCAACCATATGTTTAAATTTTTAGATTGTAAATAGGCTGTTCATTGGTGTATCTAGCCCAACTTTACTCTTCTTTTGTCCTCCCTAACACTTTGTATTCAGCTAATCATCAGCATGCATGTTTTGAATTTTTCTTCTTAAGAGGGTAAAAATCATCAGTCTGTTATACAAATCAATTACCCACAGCTATGAATGCATACTTGTTTTATTAGTAAATAATATACTGATTTTTAAATGTCTTGCTTCACCTTTACAGGAAATACTAGAGGGAGTAATGGACATAGATCTTGTAGTGAACCTTAAGCTGAGAGAAGAAGTGCTCATTGAGAAGTGCCTTGGAAGAAGGGTTTGCAACGAGTGCGGTAAAAATTTCAATGTCGCTTCCATCAATTTAAAGGGAGAAAATGGTAGACCTGGAATATCAATGGCTCCACTCCCACCTCCGCCTCAGTGTGCATCAAAGCTCATTACTCGAGCTGATGACACTGAAGATGTTGTGAAGGAAAGGCTGCGCGTCTACCATGAGCTGGTAATGATCACTTAGTTCTCAGTTGCTATATATATATATATAGGATTTCAAATCAAGAAAGAAGCGTAAATGCCTTCAAATTTTAGTTGAACAAAGGTTAAAATAATAAGTATACATACATGCAAGCATTTAATCTAATGGAATATCAGTAGAAATATACACTATTACAGCAGGAAAATACTCTCGAGTCTTTAGGAAATAATTCTCATCTTTTCTCAATAATTTTATGAAGTAAATTATAAAAAAAATTCTTTTAATAACATTATTTACTTTAACTGTTAATGTTTGGGCACAATTTGAGGATCTAATATAATTATTTTCTGTGCAAATGCATCGAATAATGTTATAGTGACCCTTAGTAGTCTTTTTTTCACTTAAACTTCATTTTTGCTATGTTCACCTTGGAAAGGCAGTTACGTTTAAAAAGTAGTAAGAAAGTGGTTAGACCAGTCCATATGGGACCGGCTCAAAGTAACAAGAAGAGGAAGAGTCCGTCTCTTGCTCTAGCCGCACGAGCCGCAAGATCTACGGGAGCCAATTTGGAAGGATTTTTTAGAGAGTTGGGAGGGAAATTTGAATGTGGGGACTGTTTAGAGATTCCCTTTTGAATTGTATGCATTAAATATCTTGTTTTTGTAGGGTTAGGACATCTTGAATTTGGCTGAAATTTGAGATCTCTTAGAATTAAGTTTTCTTTTGCGCTCTAATGGCGTCTAGAGATTTGGTAGAGATTGGCGTCTAGAGATTTGGTAGAGATTGATCCTCCTCTCTAATAGAGGATTAATTGTATCTTGCTATTTCTTTCCGTTAGCTTGATTATCACAATAAAAGTCACTGTTTTGACTTTTGAGTACTCTCGTTGTTTTTGTTTTTATTGTTAGGATTCACTTGAAATCCGCAAGTGTTTCCTATCAGATGACTTTCACTTGAAATCCACAAGTGTTTCCTATCAGAAAGTCATCTTAAACGAAGCCTAAGGATGTTTTTCCTTTGTTAATATAGAGTGAACCAGTTGAGGAATTCTATCGGAGCAGAGGAAAACTACTAGAATTTGATTTACCAGGGGGAATCCCAGAATCTTGGCCGAAGTTACTTCAGGCGCTGAACCTTGTGGATCATGATGAGAAGCAATCTGCTGCAGCATGAGATGCTATGCATTTGGCGTTCATCTTAGGAATCATTCTTTGAATAAGATCCTCAAAATGAGGCTGTGGTGGTTTTTTGCAACCAATAGAATTATTTATTTTCTAATTAGTTTTTTTCTCTGACCAATTAATATTTTTGTGTAATAGCATTTTTTTATCACATGTCAGTATTGTATCACTGAGGCAAAACCATATTAGCATATATTCTTCACATGTTTTTCGTGTTTAAAACATTCTACACAGAATTATAAAGAGGCAGAAGTTTGTATCATTTGGTTTTTCGTTTGTTAGGAAGCTGGCTTTTTTAATTTTGTAGAGCAGGAATGTACTTTTATGAAGGACTTCTAGTAGGGTTGTAAGTGAGTCAAGTCGACTCGTGAGCCAGCTTGGGCTCTGCTCGATAAATGACTTGTGAGCCCAGCTCAATAAGCTAACAAGCAAAGTTTGAGCTAGCCCAGACTCAAATATCTAAGAACCGTTCTTGCTGATGCTTCTTTCGAATGTTATTACGTATTCAGAGAGCTGGAGACGCCTGATTCAATCAGAATGAGAACAGCCCTTGGCTATATGAGCATGAAGGCTTAGAGTTTTGATTTCAAATTTATTGACTGTTGGATTATTCAATTGAGTATGTTTTGGATTGAGTTCCATTTCTATGATTCAGCCAACTTCAATTGAATATGGGTTGAGTGAATCCATATTCATTTAAATTTAATATTTTTTTTCTAAATTATATACTGTTAAGAGTTAAATTTTTATTTAAATTTAATAAATAATATCATTTTAAATATTTTTTAAATTAAATATGTTTAAGTCTATCTCTACTTTTTTAACATAAGCCAATCTAATACATCTACTCTCTTAGCCGGATCATCAGAAGGATTAATTATTTTGTGCGGATGCCGAATGTCGTTCGGAGATCAACCATAATACACCACATCACCCCTTCGCTCAGTATTGGTCGGTACCGCTAACGTGGCGCATTCTGGTCGATCTCCGAACGGCATTCTGCGTCCGGTCTCCGCACATAATAATTTCTGCATCAGAAAGGTGACATTTTACGTGGCCAAATTATTCAAGATGACTTTCTAATCTTACTGGCCACTGGATGATAAAAGTAAGAGTTTACATTAGGTAGTCAACAATTGGTATAAAATTTATCAACAATTAGCATAAAATTTATCGAATGATAATAAAATTTTTAATATATGTTTTAAAAAGATAATAATTGATTATAATACAATTGAATTTTAATTTTAATTCATTGGATAACAAATATAGAGGTAAACTCGCATGAAGAAGCAGCAACCCGCAAAAAGAAATGTTAGCAGCAGCCTTTTTTTTAATGATCAAAGTTTCTCTCAAGTAGCGAAAAATGACAACAGTACAAATATCATGCTATGTGGAGCTACACTTTGGTTATGTTAAAGAGTAAAATTGCGCAGGAACTATTGCTTTGAAAGCAAGGGGGCTTTCTATTAGCTTGCTTCAAAGCTTCTACAATAAGAGCAGCGTTTGTCACTAGTTCGGTAATCTTGACTCTGGAGAATTTTGAAACAGAGGGCTGAAAGGTTGTCTTGATTGCTCTTCCAGATTGGAGTCGGCCTCTCTCCCAAAGGGACTGCCCTCCCTGAACCTCCTTGACTTCCTCTTACCCTGAAAAAACAGGACAAAGTTATATTTAAGAGATATATAGTGTGCTTTGTTTGGGACGGCTTTTTTACTGTTCCTTAAATAAGCTTTCAAGTACAAAAAATTTAACTTTTGTATTAAAAAAACGTTTAAAAAAGCAGTAAGAAAACTGTCCCAAACGAAACCATAGTGTGCTAGAATACAGCAGGCTAATCATCACATCCTCTCATATCAAATTGGAGTTAAAAATATCTTATATTAAAGTATTTTAACTTAAGCTTATCTATGTTAGCTTTTAAAAGCTCAAATGTCAACAACAAAAAGCTTTTTATAAGCTCTCATACAAACAAATACTACTTTTTTATTGGGTGTTCTTCTAACATAAAAGAAGGCTCAAACAAAGCCTAAGAGTCATTTCAACAATCACAATCTTGTTTGGCTATAATTTGCTTGTTACTCTTAAAAAATTTTATGATGAGAAACAATTTTTTTTAATGAAATCTATTAGAGTGTTAGTTGCAAGGAAGTCAATGTAGCTTTTTTTTTAAAAAGATTTGCCAAAAGACTATGTAAGAAGCTTTTCTCAAAAGAACGGCGCGTGAAAGATTAAGATTAAGGCTTCGTTTAGGACGGTTTTTTTATTTGTTCTTAAAGCAGTTTTTTAGTACAAATTTATGTACTAAAAAACTACTTTAAGAAGCAGTAAGAAAACAGTCTCAAACAAAACCTAAGAACAAAATCAGTAATGAATAGAGTGAATAAAACAAAGTTTTAGTTAGTTTTGACTCACCCTAGCAGAAGAGCCACTAGCTGAGCGCTTGTGATCAGATCCATGACGTTCCTTCCCTCTTTGCAGTTGCCTTAGCAACTGCTTGTTCAATTCATCCAGTAATTTGTTGTCTTCATACAGCACTTTCACCTTAAAAATGCAAAATTGAAGCGGTGGCGAATGAGATAATGGCCTAGAGAATAAAAACACAATTGATTAGTGAATCTGTTACCTCCTCTTCAGCTCTCTGCAGGTTTATCAGGAGATTCTCCTTATCTTCTTGCAAGGACTTGACTTCAGCAGACATAGCTTGAAGCTAACATTGCATTATAGTTGAATAGAAGTGATCAAAATTTAAAATAAATACAGCAAGATATAAAAGAGTAAGACAGAAATGTACTGAATTTAGCAGGCCATTGTTTACTATGAATCATAAATGTAAAACACATTATAATAAAAGATGATGTTACAAACAAGACATACTTTAATGGTGGCTAGAGTTTCTAGAGGTATTGATAAGTAGGTGTCTGCTAGAAAGAGAAGAATTATTGATGTGAGTTAAACCTATTGGAAAGATTTCAGGGGTTCTTCTACTTCTCCTTTTGTGCGTAGACGTATTTGGGAATTGAGAAAAAGTCAATGAATGATCTTATTTTTGTACACCATGCTTTTTGGTTTCTTTACTAGTGGATCATAATCTCTATCCTCTCCTATGGACCTAAGTTTAGTTGAAGCCGAGTCATATAAATCTTAGGATCTTGTGTTAGGTTCTCTTTCTCTTTTGTGATATTCTATGGCACATCATTCTCAATCTTGATGATATCTCCACATTTTATTACAATAAATTGGTATTAGAGCATACTAATAAGATCAATATCGATGATGTTTGAGATTGAGAAATTTGTTGGGTCAAAGAGTTTCATCTCTGGAGAACAAATACACTTGATGTTATTATCTAACAAGTTCTTGTGAAGGAACTTTTGGGTTGTTCAAGTATGACAGTGATGATGAGTGAAGTTAAAATATAAGGGGATGAAAAAGCACTTATACTAAACTAGTTATGCTTGACGGTGTCGTGTGTGTTGCATTCTCCTTCTATTTTATAGCACATCCTTCTCGATTTTGATGATGCTTACATATTTGAGTTATTCATCTTCCTCATTATAATAAATTGGTATCAGAACAAAATAATGAGATCAATGTTCATGAAGTTCAAGACCAAGAGTTTGATGGGTAAAGAGTTCTAACCTTTGTATAATCAATATGTTTAATGTTATTGTCTAGTAAGGTCCTGTGAATGCACTTCTGGGATATTTGAAGATTTTGAAGGTGATGAGTAAAGATGAAAAAGATGAAGGAAAAATACTTATGATAATATAGTTGTATTTGACGGATGAGGACTTGGATGAGTCAAATATGAAAAATTCATGGCTCCAACTAGAATCATTGTTTATGACTAAAAGCCTCTCCAACAAGCTTTATTAGATACAAAGACTATTTTTCTTTGCATATAGAAGTATACCATCAATCTAGTCACATATGAATCGATTTAATTTAATTATTCATTAATTAAGAAACTTTAATGTGATTCTTTTTGATGAGGATCAAATTTTATAATTATTGTGCTCTTTATAGCTCTTTATAGGAACATTTATGACACCATGTTATATGGAAATATGCTATAAGCTTGAAGGATATGAAAAATTCAATATGTAATTTCTAAATTGGAGGGTGTTGGTGAAGAAAAGAAATGGAGAAAGGTTCTATCTCTACAGGCAAGTCTATTGGTAAGAATAGTATTTATTTTATTACAAGTAAGGATACACCTAGAGAGGTTGAACGACATTGAAGAAGAACAATGGCAAGCAAGTGACAACCATCATAATGATGAAAACAAAAATAAACATGATTACTATAGATCCTAGTGATGTCTTTTTTTTTTTTTTATTACTATTTATTTTGATTTGATTATAGATTATAAGTGTGGTGGCACTTTTTATGTGATTACAAGTTACAAACATAGTGTAGTGATCAGTGGGTACTTGACTCAACTTCTTTTATTACAGGTTAATATAGATCATTATTTTTTGTTATATAAGTTAAACCCAAATCCATTATTTTGTGTTAAACCTTTTTATGCGTTTGACCTGTTTATCATATAGATTATGCAATTTTTTCTACCAACACACGTTTAACCTGAAAGTGACTCATTTAAATCAAACCTGAATGGTTATCAAGTCAATTTTGAATTTTTAGGTCAACCCAAACATGAACTAAAAAGTAATCTAGTGGTCAAAATTTTCTACTCGAACCCAACCTGGAAAATAATCGGGACAACCCGCACTCGATTTTTTTGAGTCGGGTTTAGGTCAAATCATTTGTTGACACCCCTATTTATAAGTTTGTGCCTCCTGTAACTTAAATGAGGATATCTATGGAAGACAGATGACCTTGATTGAGGATAATCGTAGCAAGAACCGAGTCTCATAAGACGAATGCTTTTTTGAGTGAAAACTTGTTGAGATGAGTTCTCTACTTGAGCTACTAGAAATATGTGTCTTATTTGTTGAGCCCCTCGAAGGTGAACTCCTATTATGCAAGCTTCATTAGGGTGAATACCTGCCTATCTCTTATCTTGCTCAAACGGGTGTTCCTCAAGGCAAGGCTCAGTGTAGGCAAGTGCACCTCTTAAACGAGCTCCTCGGGGGTGAATATGTTTGGCATATATGAGTTACCCATACCGGCATGTATAGACATACAACTAGGAAGTGACTTAAAAAGAACAAACAAAGAACTGCTTGAATTGATGTAGATGGAGGCTATTTCTCAAATTACTTTCTCTATTTTCAAACCAAAATGTGTAACACCAAACTAATATTTTTTTTAGCAATAAATACAGTCTTTTTCAACATCGCCCATGGAACGCTTTGCATATTCCATGACAAATTGAATTTTGAAACCTGGCAAACTATTAAAAACATAAAATCATCCACAAAAAGTTGCACCATGATATCTCAAGAATAAACATGAAATACTGCAAGATATGTTGGAAGTTTAGAGCACCGAGAACTCACTGTGGAGTTATCCTGCAACTGAGCCCGGAGCTCATTGTTCTCCTTCTCCAACTCATCACAGGACTCCATGGCCTTCTCCAAATCACGTTCAAATAGCATGCATTCTCTCCCCAACTTGGCACAGCACTTCTCCCTTTCAGCATACTTTGCCACTAATGTTTCCCTCTCCTGGATACATTTTCTTAAACCCTGGGCGTTCATACTCGCCTCCTCCTATCACAATAAACCCATAGGTTCTGTTAGGTTTGAAGGAATTGAAAAAGAGGAAATAAAAAGGAAGACAAGGAAAAAGATGAAGGAATTTAATTGAAAATACTTATAGCCAACATTTTTAACTGAGAAGAAATGGAATGGAATGGAGATTTTTTTTTTTTTTGTGCAGTATCAATAAATTGAAGTTTTAAACAACCTCAGCGTTGTGCATGAAATAAACTATGCATATGCACTCATTTCCTTGGTAAAATCCTTTTCTTATGAATTGCATCTAACCTAAGAAAAAGCAACATTTACATCTTCCTAATTCCTCCAAACCAAACAAAACCAAAGAATCCCTAATAGAATTAAAGGACACTTAAAATGGAAATTTTTTTTGGTGTTGTTTGGGAATTGGTTGGGCGGGGAAAGAGAGGAAGAACGAACCTTGCTGCTCTGAAACCGCTTATGGAGCTCCTTCAGTTGGTTCTGCAAGATAAAGTTCTGATCTTGGAGGAGGTGGCGCTCTTCCTCTGAAGCGAGAAATTTCAGCCGGAGCGTCTTCTCCGAAACGGGCAGGCCTAGAGAATCCTGAATGGATTCCCGGATGTAATTTTCTGTCTCTTGTGGGATATCCATCGAATGGAGCCAGCCAATAACCTTGAAATCCCTAAGATTTGAGTAAAAGAAACGATGCTTGTCGAAACCCCTAGAAATGGTAAGGCGCGCAAGAGAAGAACAGTTCGATGGACAAAACCAAATCCTAGAAGCCGCCAAGAAGACCGAACACCGGACTGGAACTATGGAAATAGGGTTCAAACGTTTGCCAAGCAGTTAAAACACCAGGGGGTAGAGAGAAAGCGAGAAAGCGCACGGGAGAATAGGAGGATTTTGTCCGAAAGAAGAATGGGATCTTTTCAAATCGACAAGCTAGCCGTTAGAAATATGGTAGGTAGCCTTTTCTTACGGTTTCCGTGAATCATGCTTGATTCGGTAAATAGCATGACATTATTTATGCATGTTTTTAGAAGAAATAAAAAAAAAATTAAAAATATTTTCCATAATTCTATTTTGCTGAAAAAAAAGTGACAATCTTATTTTTGTATTAAAATTTAAAAAAATATGTTTTTTCATCATCGACCATTCCACCCATTTAATGCAGAAATTATTATGTGCGGAGACCAGATATAGAACGCTGTTCGGAGACCAAACATAATGTGCCCACGTCAGTGGTATCAAGCCGCGGTATCGAGCACATGGGTGATATTATGCATTATGCTTGGTCTCTGAACATCATTCGACGTACGCACAAAATAATTAATTCATATAATGAGGCAAATTCCTCATGATTAACTATGTACTCGATCTCCAAAGTAGTTCAATTAAAACTAGCACTCAACATAGTCGATTGGACATGACGATACCTTTGCATCATTAAACTAGAACTTAGAGATCTTCCAAGAACTCAACCTTCTTCGCCAACAACCCTAATAGTCCGACCCCTAGCATTTTGACTCCTTAAACACCTCGGCATATTAAGGGCTCAACCTAGTTGATCACTAAACCAACTTCCGCGAGTTGAATCGTTTTGAGAACTCAATCTTTTGATGCCTTAGCCTCCAAAGCACTCAACATCTTCTTCTTATGTGTCTTTGGTTTAAGCTTGTTTACAAAAATAGAGATTAAAGTTCGAAGATCAAGCTAATAACATAGGCCTATAAATAGATATTTACAATTATACCTAAACGATGATCATAGGAGAAATTATACATGAACAATATCCTTATCTTTTGCCTTTGTTACATTGAATTGAGACCTATACATGCATGGTGTGGGCCATTCTTAAGTACTTAGAAAATTTCTTAACAATAATGCTTGGGCTGTTTGTCTTGTTACCCATGTGAGCCCTACTTTTTCCTCTTAATTTGCTTAATTTTTTTAATTAATGCTTTTTCTTATCGACCAATGAAATATCCATAGTTTGATATATAATATATTTTCCTTTCCTTTGTATAGATAGACAAATTGGTTCAATAATAAATATTCCCTTTCTTATCAATTCTGCAAGAACTAGGTCCTTTTGAATCAGCATTTCATCTATATTTATTTCACCTCTTTCCCTTAGCATTTTGACTCCTTAAACACCTCGGCATATTAAGGGCTCAACCTAGTTGATCACTAAACCAACTTCCGCGAGTTGAATCGTTTTGAGAACTCAATCTTTTGATGCTTAGCCTCCAAAGCACTCAACATCTTCTTCTTATGTGTCTCTGGTTTGAGCTTGTTTATAACATAGGCCTATAAATAGATATTTACAATTATACCTAAACGATGATCATAGAAGAAATTATACATGAACAATATCCTTATCTTTTGCCTTTGTTACATTGAATTGAGACCTATACATGCATGGTGTGGGCCATTCTTAAGTACTTAGAAAATTTCTTAACGAAAATGCTTGGGCTGTTAGTCTTGTTACCCATGTGAGCCCTACTTTTTCCTCTTAATTTGCTTAATTTTTTTAATAAAAAAAAATTAAATGCTTAAAAACATGAAGAATTGAAAATAATCATAATAATAATTATGAATTTTTTTAATAGAATATTTTTATACAAAATTTATCAGAAAAAAAAAAAAAATTCTTCAGCAACAACCCAATTTCTTATAAGCTTCAGGCCCACAAAATCAAAACCCAAATTTCCGGCCCACCATCTTTATAATAGAAACCATCCTTTTAACCTTAAAGTTCCATTAATAAACCCAATAAATCAACTCGGGACTAGACTGAGGTTTTTACTTACAGTAGTTTTGGTTTCATTTTGTTGCTATAGTTTTAATCATTTCGCAGTTAAATTTTTAATGTTTAGTTTCTATTGTTTTATAATTTTTAGTAATAAATAAAATATTTAAAAATATATTTCTCAAATTAAAAATTTTAAGAAAATTTGAAATATATATTGATATATCATCAAACTTTTATCTTGATTAAGCACAAATTTTGAGGCAAAATTAAGTTGGAAACTTCAAAAATTAAATATGGGATCATCTGAATTTTGATTTCATAAAACTTATAGTTGAACTAAAAGTCTCGAAAAGACGAATCCAATGACACCAAATTCAACTCAATCCGACCTCAAATGGGACCAAATCAAAGACCCGAAGCACATTTGAAAGGTTCAAACTATAAATTGAATGACCAAAGGGTTTCCAAACATTGCATGCTTATAGTCATATCGAGTGGCTCGATGAGATGAATCCAATGAGCCTAAGATCGTTGAATTATGACATCATTAAGGCACTCAACTACACCATAAACAATATATAAAAGGAGTCGATATTGATCGTCCATTCAAGACATTCCTAACATGCCCTTGATATCCTCCCTATTTATTGGCTATGCCACTTTCAGAAAACTATAAATAGACCCCTGATTCCTCATTAAAAGGGGGAGGAAACAGGGAAAGTAAGGAAGAGAAGAAAGAAAGAGAGAGTTCTCTTGTCGCCAGACTCCTCGACCACCGACTGTCACTAGACTATCACTGGACTTTCGCCTGGCCATCAACTAATTTCGGACTTCCGCCCGTGCATCGACTGACACTGAACTTCTGCCTGGCCATCGAATAATGTCGGACTTCTGCCCGACCATCAACTTACACCGGACTTTTGCCCAGCCACCGACTATCATTGGACTATCGTCAGACTTACTTCCAGTCACCGATTATGGTCAGACTTCCCCTTGATAATTATCTCCAGACTATGGTCTTTCTGACCAACGTCGCCCTCCAACTAAGGTCTTTTTGACCTCCATCGCCAGACTACGGTCTTTCTAACCTTCGTCACCCGCCGACTACGGTCCTTCCGACCTCTACCGTTAAGGTCCTTTTGACATCCGCCGACTACGATTCTTCCGACCTCTGCTAGACTACAATCTTTCCAACCTCCGTCGGTAAACTTTGGTCTTTCTGACCTCCTCGCCCACTGACTATTTCCCTGCCGACCAAATGAGCAAGTTAATATTAATTCTTCCCATTTCCACCATGTAATGAATTCTATATGATGCATATTTGCTACATTAAGCCAATGACATTCCCTAAAGGAAGGGTTTCATTCGTAATTGACTACAAACACTAGTGGATTCATTCAAGCTGGGTCAAGATCAACGGGCTTTCCCCTTTTTAGGGGTTTCCACGTAAAAATAATGGTGTCTCTTATGAATAATACACCATCTATTTTATGTGATAGTGTGTTAGATTTTCGTACAAAACTAAGACGTTAAACTTTATATTTTTCTACCGTTGTGAATATTCTAGGATGCAATAGTTTGACGCCGTATGTGGGAACATGGTTCTTGACTAAGGGTGATTTTTGCTCCAAACTTAAAATATTATTATGTCAATGTCCTAACATCAATCATTACTGTATCAATTTTATGAGAATCATATGCAGACTGGGGGCACCTTTATTGCAACTGTGGTCAAGCAAATTGCTCTAATACTTTCAATATACAAGATAATATTTCAAGAAACTCTTAACAAATATAATGATGCTTTCAATAAATTATATACTTTATACAGTTCATAACTGGACTTATACTCCTTGGGCAAAGTCTTAATCTCGACCTAAAAAATGTAGTAATAATTTAAAGATAGATCATTCTTCATCTTTGATTTGGGATACACGTGGCATTTGCCCCCTCCCACTCAAGACATAATCGATCATAGGGGATTTTATTCGACCTCTTCTAAACAGGTTAACATCATCAAATAATGCTATTATAAATAACCTTAGATAGGTCAAACATCATAGAAGGATGTTAATTAAATCTTAAAATCCTTAATTCTAGAAATAAATAATTTTTATTATTTCTCAATCACTAGATGATCAATTCCTAGGGGATTCAATCCGACCTCTTCCACACAGGTTAATGTTATCAAATAATACTTTGACAAACAACCTCGGATAAATCATACATCCTTAGTGGATTATCACGATATCTTCCATATACATGTTAACCTTATCAAGCAATGCACTGACAAATAATCTCAAATAGGTTATACATCCTTAATGGATTCTCTCGATCTCTTCTACATACATGCTAACGTCATCAAGTAATGTTATGATAAATAACTTTTAATAAGTCAAACATATATTGTGGATTTCTCATCCTTTTTAATACAAAACAACATTTTAACAAATAACCCCAAAAAGACTTACCTATGAGGTAGCCTGAAAGGAAAGCTAGTTGTGGAAAACATTCTCACCAGAAAGACCTTAGTAGGCTAAAAAGCCTCAAAAGACAGGGGTAATATATCAAAGCATATCTCATAAAAGCATAAACGACTTAATTTTCTCTAGGGACCCATTCATTTCAAATGAATAATAAGCATCGAGCTCATACAAATATTTTAAATTCAATGCCATTCTACATTAGGTTCAAGTGTACATTCATTTTCACTAGAAGCTAAAATTAAAATTATATCGACATCATCCATATAAATTAATGTCATTAAGAACAAACAACTTTAAAAATGTTAAATATCATTAAAAGATTATATTTGCCTCTTCTTTACTACTCATTGAAGCATCTTCTATAACTTCTTCAAATAAAGATTATAACCTGATCATCAACAATCCTCCACTCAATTGACACTGTTAGTATGTAGCCAAACCATTAACAGGGCACACTACTTTGACCTATTCCATCAGAGATGTCTGATATACGCACACGTTAGTATGGATTCATATTGCCTTTATTAGAATGGAACTTGACCACTACCATGTTCGACTCTTTTCCTGATGTTTGCCGTTGGTTCTTCACTTCATATCAACCATCTGAGATTTCTTGCTCGACTACTATTAGCAACACACCCTCCAACTATCTCCTTCAGCTCTCCACCAAATTGTCAATCGTCATCAAACTTCAACCCGATCATCGATTGCCATCGGACTTCAGCTCAAACAACATTAAAATTCTACTCGGCTACTATTAATCACTGGTTTTCCTCCTGGGTACTATTACCTTTAGATCTTCTCAAATCGTCCTCGTATGTAAGAGGTAGTTGATCTTCTTCTATAAAGAATTATTTATTGAGAGAATAAACTCTTAAAAGACTTCTTCTACGTAAAAGAGGGGGCACTAAAACTTAATAGGGGATGTCACATATCTCAGACAATGGAATGCCTCTAATATAAGAAAAAAAATCATATGAGAAGAAAATGAAAGAAGGAGAAAGTTCATTCTACACAAAAGAGAGGCATTGAAGCTTGATAGAGGATGCCACCTATCTTAGATAGTTGAATGCCTCTGATGTAAGAAGAGGACGAAAGATAGAAAGAATGTAAAGAAATTTTGCTTCTACACCAAGAAGGGCAACAAAATTTGATAGGTGATACCATCTATATAAGACCAAATGAATGTCTCTATTGTAAGAATATTGGAGGAGAAGAAAAAAATAAATGGTGCAATTTCTCACCTGTTCCAAGGGTGTCATTTATAGGTGAAAAAGGGGAGGAGGAATATTCTACATGAATAATAATATTCTAAGAAAAGGGAGGGGGGGGGGGGAATAAAAATTTATTATTAGCCGATGGCACTGCAGCCGCCGCCCGCACAGCAAGAAAAAAAATAAAAATTACACCCAGTTATTACAGATTGCATCAGAACTGCATGTCACACGACTTTCTAGCTCCTGCGGCTGGCTGCTTCGGCCGCCAATTGTATTTGGACCCGATTTTCAACTCAGACAGTCTGAATCAAATGATTTTGGTGTCCTTAGAACCGTTTTTTGATGTTTTGGATCCATTTTTGACACTTTCGGAGCTCAACATAGCTTCTATAATCAATTCCAAACAATTTCAAATATTTTGGAGCACAATTTTTCAATAGTTTTTTGCTTTAATCAACAAGCAAACTTCAGAACATCCTCAATTTATAGTTAATGATAATTTACTTAGCTCATGGTCCTGAGAGGAGATCAATGTTGACGTCTAGGGAGCAATCCTATCTTATAATTATTCAAAAATTATAAGTTTACATTTAAAAAATTATATAATAGATATTTTTAGACTTTGCAGGCTTCTACGTCTGAAAATAGTGGGCAAATTGATATATCATAAAAATTATATTGATTACGCACTAATCTCGAGGCAAAATCAAGTTGAAAACTTCTAAAATTAAATATTGGACTATGTGAACTCTAATTTAAATAAATTTATAGTCGAACTGAGCGTCTCGATAAGACGAACCTAACGACACCAAATTCGACTCAATCCAAGCCCAAATGAGACCAAATCAAAGACCCGAAGCACTTTTGGAAGGTTTAAACTATAAATTCAATGACCAAACGATTTCCAACCGTTGCATGCTTATCGTTGAATCGAGCGGATCGCCGATACGAATCTAACGAGCCCAATATTATTAATTTTGACATCATTAAGCACTCAAATGCTTGATAAACATTCCAAGAACAAAAGGAGTAGATATCGACCATCAATTCAAAACGCTCCCAACATGCCCTTGATCACTTCCCGATTTACTGGTCATGCCACTATCAGAAAGAAATAAATAGACCCCTCATTCCTCATGGAATGGGGGGAGGAAGCTGGGGAAGCAAGGAAGAGAAGGAAGAAAGAGAGAGATCTCTAGCCACCAGACTCCTCCTCGACCACCGACCATCTCTAGACTATCGCCAGACTTCTGCCCGACCATTGACTGTCGCAAGACTTCGACCCGGCCATCGATTTATCTCAAACTTCTGCCCGGTCACTAACTGACGTCGGACTTCTACCTGGCCACCGATTGACGCCGAACTTATACACATCAACCAACCGACATCAGACTTCCACATGACCATCGACTGTCACCGGACTGTCATCATACTTATTCCCAGCCATGATTATCATCGGACTTCACCCAAAAAAATGTCGCTAAACTATGTTCTTTTAATCACTATGGCCCGCCGACTAGTACGTCTGACCTCCATCGCCAAACTATGATCTTCGACCTCCGTCACCCACCAACTATGGTCCTTCTAACCTCCATCGCCATACTATGATCTTTTTTACCTCCATCATCTGATGACTAGAGTCCTTCTGATCTCATCCTTTTGATCTCTGTCGTCAGACTACAGTCTTTCTAACTTCCATCGCCCACCGATTATGGTCCTTCTGACCTCCGTCGCTTGCGGGCTATGGTCCTGCTCACCAAATGAACATGCCAATACATATTCTTCCAATTCCCACCATTTAATAAATTATATATGATGTATTTGCTACATTAAGTCAAGGCCTCCCCTCAAGGAAGAACCTCATTTATAATCAACTACAAATGCTAGTGGATTTATTCAAATTGGGCCCGACCCCGTGGGGTTTTCCCATTTTCTGGGGTTTCAACGTAAAACTATGGTGTCTCTTACGAACGCTACACCCTCACTTTTCTCTTATTGTGTGCTGGATTTTCGTATAAAGCTAGCTGCAATCAATGCATTAATTAATTAATTAAATTTAAATTAATCAATTAATATTTTAATCTAAAATTTTATCTGAATATTCATTTAACATTTCTATAATTGTTCACTAAACCACTTAGATATAATATCAAAGAAACAAAATGGGCATAACGAAAACCTCTGGAAAAAAAAAAAGGGAAAAGAAAAGAAAACAGCGGACGGCAACTCACTATAACTCCGTCCACCTCCCTCCACCTATGTTTCTTCTTTCTGTAATCCCACAAATGCCCAGAAAACCATGTCCTCTGACCCCTCGCTCACTCGATCCCCCCTAGCCATCCTCGAACACCACCAAACCCCTCTTCTTCCTCTCGCCGCAGCCGCAGCCGCCGGCGGCCCCGGCTGCATCTCAGCTCCCTCTCCCTCCTCCAGCGTTCTCTCCCGCGAGTACCGCAAAGGCAACTGGACCGTCCAGGAAACCCTCATTCTCATCACCGCAAAACGCCTCGACGACGACCGCCGCAGCCGAGGCGGCGCCACCACCTCTTCCGACGACCCCTCCACCGCTCCGCGCTCCGCCGAACAACGATGGAAGTGGGTCGAGAACTATTGCTGGAAACAGGGTTGTCTTCGCAGTCAAAACCAGTGCAACGACAAGTGGGACAATCTACTACGCGACTACAAGAAGGTCCGAGACTATGAATCCCGCGCGGCCGCCGCCGCCGCAGCTGCCTCGCCCACCTCCTATTGGTCCCTCGAGCGGCACGAGCGCAAGGAGCGCAACCTCCCTACCAATCTCGCCTTCGAAGTCTACGAAGCGCTCACCGACGTCCTCAGCCGCCGGGCCACTCTCCGTGCAGGCGGCGGCGCAGCTGCTGCTCCTCATCCTCGACCTCTGACTCTTCCTCCTCCTCCTCCTCGTCCGCCGCCGCCAGCCCAGGCCTCCGTTTCCGGTACGGTAGATATGGACATTTTCCGCACACAGCATGCGATGTTAAAAAATAAAATAACAAACAATTATAATCGCATTAACGATGTCGCATTAGATATATCGATGGGAATGGGAATGTTAAACGGGATTTTTTGGGCGATTCGCGTATCAAATGTCCATAACACTGATAGCTTGGACCATCCTTTCTTAGAGTGTAAAGCTGCGATTTTTTAATCTTGCTGCATTTATCCCATCCGAGATTATTATTGTTTAGCATAAAGCTCTGATTTTTATAAAAGAAAGCTGGGGAAAAAGTTACCTTTTGAGCTGATGAATTTGATTTGATGTTGTGGCTCAGGGGAAATGACGCCGGAGGGGTCGTCTGAGACGGAGGGTTGCGGCGGAGGTAGCGACGGTAGCCCGTCGCCGCCTCCGGGAGGGAAGCGGAGGCGGGGTTTGGGGTCGAGCGTGGTGCGTGGAGCGGCGGAGCTCGCTCGGGCGCTGGTTGCGTGCGAGGAGAGGAAGGAGAGGCGGCACAGGGATTTAATGGAGCTGGAGGAGCGGCGGCTGAGAATGGAAGAAAACCGGACGGAGATGAACCGGCAGGCCGTCGCCGGCCTTATCAACGCCGTGAATGGCCTCTCTGCGGCCGTACATTCGCTTGTCGCCGACCATCGCGGCGGCCACGGCCGATGACCGGTGAGCGGCGGGCATCTAAGTTACATTATTTTTTTACGAGGGATCACTTTGGGGATTAAATAAATGAATCAGTGAAAATGGAAAAAAAATGGAAAATTATTATTTTTTAGTTTGATTGTTCCGCCCTATTCCGATTGCCAAATATGATCCGTTTGTGGCCTCTTTCGGTTTTTGAAAAACTCAAAAAAAAAGAGATTGTTTTGTATGTATTTTTATTTGATTTAATTTGATTTTTTTCCTTTCCAGTTTTTAGTTCATTTTTTGTCAATAATTAATAATAAAATTATCAAAGTTTCATAATCTAATTTTCCATATATAGTTAAATTTTATTTTATAAATAATAATAAATTCCAATTGTCAATTTTATATGATCCCTATCGTTTTCATGCTTATAAGAGAGAATCTCAATAAAGCAGGAAAACAAACCTATGGGAGAATAAAAGTATTTTTATTTTATTTTATTAATTAATGAAATTACACTACATACATTAGTTTTTTTTTTAAATATTTTTATGCACTATTGATTATAACATATCATTTTAGAAAAAAAAAATCTTACTTATTTTGGCATTGTGTATGAAAATGTCGATTAGTCTTGAAATAAAGGTTTCCTTTGGTATAACTTCTTATTATTTTCTAAAGGATCTTTTTAGTATTAAAATTTTAGATTTAACAATTTTTTGTACTAAAATTTTGCTTTTAAAAAAGCAGTAAGAAAGTTGTCGCAAACAACAGTAAGAAAATTGTCTCAAACAAAATAAAAAAGGGGTCATCAATGAGGGTTTTGTAAAGGAGTTTTTGACTATTTGCCGAGAGGATAAGATGCGTGTTGAGGAGCATCAATCGCAACAACTTGCAAACATTACTAAAAAGATATAAATTTTCTTTTATCATCCTACTCTTTTAAGTAAAATACAATTATTATGTAACACTTGATCAATTAATCAAATTCACGGATCTCCTCCAATTAGGAGGATTATCCTTTTTTTTTTATATTATGCATCACTAAATAAATCATTTATATCTTCTAAAATATTATTAAAGCCTAACCTCTCTAAAGTAGGGGCTTTAATAAATGACCCGAAATGTCAATTAGACCCGAACCTGTCCCACAAAAATAGGGTTAGGATTGACCCGTTTAATGAACTAGTCAAGTTCGGGTTGAGTTTTCTGATCCTTTTATTGAACTTTTCAGTTTCTGGTTGACTCTCAAATCCGTTTTTGAACAAAATATAAACCATTTAATATTTTTTTCTTAATTATTTTTATAGGTGGGTATAATCTTATTATTTTATATGAAATATCATAAATTTTATGGTTGATAAATTATTAAATTTTTTTTTTATCCAAAACGGGGCTAATGGGTCAAGTTTTAGTCATTTGGGTTGCTAGCGGATCAAGTTCAGGTAAGTATTTTTGATATGTTTATTAAACTGGTAGGGTTTATATTGATTGTATTCGGGTCGAGTCAATTTCGATTTGGACCCAAACCTGACCTCTCAACCCTTATTTTGACCCTAAAACTTTCTAAAACAAAAATATTCTTTGTGTTATCATCATCGCCGACAATAAGATACGACTATTTAACTATTACCGACAATAAAGACATAATCATTCCATATTATCGACAATATATCAAGATAAAAAAAATTTAGATTCGATCATAATATAATTTTTATTATGATATTTTTTTTGTATAAATATAGAAAAACAATAGCTTCACTTAAATAAATAAAGCCATAATTAAATAAGCTCATGCACATAAAATCATAATGTACGACAAAAAATAATGATAAAATATGCAGATAAATATTTATTGAGAAATGAGAATCATCCGCCACAATAGATCGTCGCAGTCTGCCATGGGATCTCAGTTGAGGGGCTTGCTCATTAACAGGAACGTCGTTGGATTCTTGCATTAATACTTGGTTACTAACCTGTTTCATTCCCTGCTCATGATTGCGATAAGTCCTCGATCAGCTTCCAATTCATTACTTGGAGATTCAGCGCTGTCAAACTTGGCTGATCAAAGATTGTTGAGAATAATTCACCATTACCAATATTACGTACGTACGCCTATCTCTTGATATGTAGTTCATACTTTCACTATATATATATTATATCATTGTCATGTATAATATATTCATATCAGTCTATTGCATCTCAATTATGTCAATCAATTTATCATTTCATCTATCATAGATATCCTCTGTCTAATCTATCATATGTCATTTTTATATTTATCAGATCATGCATGCAATTATACATACGATCATGAATGTATATTAATGCACGTTGTATTAAACAAGCGAGGCAGGACATCTAGCTTTTAAAGTTATATTTTCATCATTCTATTTGTCTTATAAATTCATCATCATCGGTCAATCATATTTTTCATTTTTTTTTATTAATCATTTATTTTAATTAGCATATTTCAATAAAAAAATGAAGAATCCTCACTTTCTATCCATCAGCATAATCAATCAATCGATTATAGGCCAACATCCAGAATTACACAAAAAAAATCTTTTATTAGAGGATACTCACATGTATATGATATTATCATTTTAACAGTCAACTCATATTAATTATAGTGTCTAAAGCTAACCTTCATTGATTGCATGCAACTGTCACACTTATCATGTCACTCTATAACATTGTCCTCTGCATGCCTTCTTAATTTCACACCAGATATATTGCAGAGTACTTTTAGCATATGTTTTCATATCCTACCAGTGTTCTTCTCACTACCTCCACCCATTTTCTTGATTGGTGGATATTTTTACTCATACTGTCATATTGTAGAGTACTTTTTTGCTCAAATTATCAATTGAAGAAATCATTAGTAGTGTTTATTCTTGGACCATCACAATTGAATCATTACTAATCGCATGGGCTAGCCTGGACTTGGTCAGGCTACCCTAACAATAACATTAACCATATATTTTTATTCATGTGAGAGAATGATTTGCATCATTCAATGTCAACTTTTACCCGAAAATATGTCATCATATTCATATTCCATATAAAGATTGAAGTGATCCTCCAAAAAATATATAAATGAGTATCAATTCAATTTTTTTGGAGCCTTCCAAGCATTATTGCATTAATTATACTATTATATAATTCTAGGGCTCCAAAGACTGCTAAGATCCAAGTGAACCAATAGGTAACCATATGTGCCACATAAGAATTTATTCAATTTCTTTCGCTATATCAAAGTTATCTCTAATAGAAAAATCATTATAGTTAATAAATCATCAATATTCTTACCTAATCATCACCCAAATAAACTTAGCAAACTAATTTCCTTTACTTGAATTTGTATTGATAATTTTTCTTATTGCATGAAAGGGTAGTACTTTACAATTTTTTTATTAATAAAAATTATTTTAATTGAGCTAAATCTTATATATACTTTTTAGAATTTTCTCATATATTATGCAATTCATTTTGATTTGTTAGTTGAAAAAATTATTATGTGTGGACACATGATTGCATATAGAGACCAATCAGAATGTGCTATATTATTTTTTTTCTCGGTACCAATGCTTGATACCGCTGTGTACTGGGTGACGTGGCACGTTCTGATTGATCTCCGAACCGTTTGGTGTCCGCACAGAATAATTTCTCTGCAGTTGGAAGCTTAAGCTATCAATCAAATAATTTTGAGCTATATATATATATATATATATATAAAGCCACCAAATTTCCACTTTAGATATTTAATTGTCTTTTATTTAATTTTCGAGCTGTGGCTAACAATCTTTAAATATTTGAGGGAATTATATAAAAAAATTAAGTCATAATAAATATAAATTATTTATGATAATCTTAATAATTATTAAATTTACATCAATTTTAAGATAAATATTATAATTTTATTTTTATCTCTATATAATTATATCAGTAAAAAATTTCTTCATTACGAACAAATCATTCTAACTATTGAGAATTTGATAAAAGTGAAAAATTAATTATTTTTAAAAAACTTTGAATATAAATTAATTTGTTGTATTGATTGATTTGATTCATTTTATATTAAAATAATAAAATTTTAATTTATTCTATGTAAATGATATAAGAAAACATTGAAATATTTTTTTTTTCATTTTAATATTTAAAGATAATTAAAAAAAATTATGTTATAAAATTGTTAATTGTTATAAATAATTAAATTTTAGTGTTATGAATGTGAAGATTTTTCATGTAATTATCACTCTTTTAGTTTTAACTTTTTTCATTTGTGGTGTTTTGTGTAAAATGATGCCAGACGGTGTGATTGCTCCTGAGAATCGTCCTTTCATGTGGAGCCCACAGTTGAGTTCTTAAAAGACAAATTTAATTTCTTACTTTCTAATGATGGAAAATAATTATATTTCAAAAAGATTAGACTAAAAAAGGAATTTAACATGAAAGTCAAGAAGTTCAAAGTTGGGACCACTCCAACTCCGTTGGAGAGCACAGACAGTTGGATGAATCCCAACCGTCGGATCATTGCAGCCCGAGTCCTCCCTCGATCGGGCCCGATACCGTACAGCACTGATTTATTTTATTATTTTTGTGACAGTGTGGCTCGATGGCAAAAGAATACTGCGATGCCAAAATTATAGGTTATAATTTCTTTGGAACGAATTTTTTAATATAATTTAAAACAGTTTTTAAGTATAAAAATTAAATTTCAAATAAAGCTTTAGGAGGCAAAATTTTTAAAAGGATCATATTTGAGTTGTAAATGAGGAGAAGGAACGTTACAAAATTTTAATTTAAAAAATGATTAAAAAAGCAAAGTAAGAGTATGTTTTTTGCAAAACGCAAGGCAGAATCGTGTGTACGTAGTAGGATATTATCTGCTGTGTAGGACTGCTTCTTTCATCTTTCAGTTTTTATCATGTTGTTGCTAGCCTCTTCTTTGTTTGTTTAGGGTTTATGATTTATGAGTCATAAGGGGTCAGAGATTGATTGAGAATTATAAGGAGTCGGGGTGACTGCTTCAC